GCGTAAGACAGAGTTGGCTCTGGGGGACAGCCTGATGCCTCAGTCCCAGAGGCACCGGGCACCGGGATCTGGATTTAAGGCCTCATTTTGGGTGGTCCCGTGTTGCTGCGGAACCGCTGGGGAGGTTTCTGCGGCCTGCGCTGGCCCAGCTCACTCCCACCCACCTTGGCTGCAGGAGCGCGTGATGCATGAGGAGCACCTGCGGCAGGTGGAGGCCCAGCTGGACTACCTGGCCCCGTTCCTGGCCCAGCTCCCGCCGGGAGAGAAGCTGACACGCTGGCAGGCCGCTCGGGTCAAGGACGAGTGCCTCAGTGACTTCAAGCAGCGGCTCATCGACAAGGCCAACCTCATCCAGGCCCGGTTCGAGAAGGTGTGGCCAGTTCCTCCCCCACACCCCCCAGGGCAGGGGAGGGCACTTCGGGGTCCACCTCCAGAACATGGACCCAGGGCTGTCTGCTCACCATCTCCAGCACTTGGGAGGGACCCGTGAGGGGATGAGTGTTATCAGTGCTTGGAGTTTCTAAAACGTGGAGTTGTCCTTCCTGGTTCTTGCTTGTTGGGTGGAAGGGTGGCTGGGAGGGGTGGGTGGTGGATGGAGTAGATGGGTGGATGGAAGCTGGGGGTGCAACAACTCCTAGCCCTTGTCCCATCTCTCTCTGCCATGCATTATCCCACTGAGTCTTGGCGACATGCTCTATGCCAGGCACCGGGTGCAGACAATGCCCTTCATTTGCAGACAAGCTTGGAAAACTTTGGACACTTGTTCACAAGCCTGTCTCTACCTTGAGCCTTGCTCCTCCTGGACACGATATCCCTCTAAACATGTCCCCACTGGCTCCCACGCGAGGCATTTTGTGTCCCCCCCTTCTGCTGCTCTGGCCTCTGTGGGTGGTGGCGGCGGGGCCGGCCCTGGTGAGGCTGTCCAGGGACCAGTGGGGATTTCAGCGGCAGTCTGGGTGAGGGCCAGCCCTCTTCACCCCACCCCTGCTCTCTCCTCCCCATGCCTGCAGGAGACCCAGGAGCTGCAGAAGAAACAGCAGTGGTACCAGGAGAACCAGGTGACCCTGACGCCCGAGGACGAGGACTGGTACCTGAGTTACTGCTCTCAGGCCATGTTCCGCATCCGCATCCTGGAGCAGCGGCTCAACCGGTGAGCGGGCGTGGGGAGCCTGGAGAGGACCCCCGGGAGGCTGGGGTGGGGCTCCATGAGCCCTGGCCACCTCCTGTTCCTCTCTCTGATCTCAGTCACAAGGAGCTGGCCCCACTCAAGTACCTGGCCCTAGAGGAAAAGCTTCACAAGGACCCACGCCTGGTGGACTTCCTGAAAGTCTTCGTCTGAGGCCCTCATGGGACCTTGGCTGAAACCGCCCCCAGAGCCTGACCTGAGCTCCCTACGGCCAGCAAGTGGCTGTCCCCTCGGGCACCAGACCTCACTGCCACACCACCTGCCAGCTGCCCTGTCTGTTCCTGCTTCTCATGACATTCCTATAAATAAACACACTATTCTTTCTTTTTTTACTATGTTCAGTTAGCCAGCATATAGTACATCATTAGTTTTTGATGGAGCGCTCAATGATTCATTTGTTGAGTATAAACACACTTTTCATGGGCCGCTTGTACCTCATGTTCCACAAGTTCCGGAGGAGGCTTCCTCTGCTTTCCTTCTCTGTCTATAGCCTGAGACTCCCCCCTCCCACCCACCTTGGCCCCTTCCTCAATTGCTCCCTCTTCTCTCCATTGGAACATTGAGTCTTTGCGGCACCTCTGCAGATGGTCCCAAAGCCACCTGCAAACAGCCGGTTAGTTGTTTGCAGCTGTGGTGGCCCAGCTGACACAGTGCAAGTGGCAAGGCCAAGGGGCTCCGCCCCAGAACTTGGGGGCTCCGCACCAGACTGCAAAGAACAGCATCCCAGCTCCGGTTCTTACCAGCCACTGTTTAGCCATCTGTAAAATGGGATGACACTATTGTTGTCTCAAAGAAGACTTGTAAAGCAGAGAGGAGCGGAAGTGGCACGTAGAAAGCACCCAATGTTAGCTTAAAAAATGTCCAATGAACACGACAGTGTCAAATTCATTAGTCATCAGGGATATGAAATGCCACCACACACCCACCAGTATGTATAAAATGAGTAAGACTTGGAAGGATGAGAAGCAACTGGAACTCTCAAGCAGTATTCCCAGTGGGTCAACCTGTCTAACCGCTTTGGAAAACTGGCTGTATCTAGTTAACACTAACCTTTGGCTCAGTAGTTCTGCTCCTAGGTTCTGCTCCATCCACCCCACCGTCCACTCTCCCCCATCCATCTACTCAACCCCCCCACCCAATGAACAAGAACAAAGAAGAACTCAACCAAGATGCGCATATACATCCTCTAAGAGTTAGGTACTAGAATGTTCATGGCAGCGGTAGTATTAGTACCAAGCTGGAAACGCCCCAGATGCCCATTAAGAGTAGACTGGAGACATAAATGTGGTCTCGAGACATTTTTGGTCGTCACAACTGGTCTGAGAGTGGCCCTGGCATCTAGCGTGTAGAGAGGCCAGGAAAGCTGCTTAACACTCTACAGATGTCTACAGTGCACAGGAAAGCTCCCTGAAGTAACGACCTAGCCTAAAATATCAGTAGTAGGTACGAAATGTGAACTATAGCCACACGGAATAACACATTGGATTCCTCATACACAGTATCAAAAGAATCCAGATACCAAAAAGAACATGCTGCATGATTCCTTTTGTATAGAAAAATACCCAGGCAAATTAATAAATTAGTCGTTGGCATCAGAATAGTTGTGGCTCTTAGGGTGTAAGGGACCACCGCGGAGGCTTCTGGGATGCTAGGAATGTTCTTCCAGACCCGAGTATGTTCATTTTGTGAAAACTCGCTTTTACAAAGTACATGCCCTTGGGGTAGGTGTATTACACTTCAATATGAGGGGTTTTCAAATGCTGATCGTGAACCTAATTAAGCTTTAACTTCCCTTTAGCAAAACATTCAGAGAGAGAGAAACAGGGTAAGCGACCCTAGCAGGAAACAGTGAGACAAAAATCATAATATAGGGCCGTCTGCAAGGGAAAAGGCCCAATCAATCTCTTCAAAAGATCAATGTCATTTAAAAAAAAAAAAAAAATTGGGGGACTGAAACAGAATGAGTTTAAAAGAACCACCTGTGGTGAATCTTGTTTGTTTCCTAGTTAGGAAAAAAAACTTTATATAGCTTTTGGGTCTGATTGGGGAAATCTGGATTGCATATTAGAGGATCCTGATTTCTTCAGTGTGCTGATGCAATGGTTAGGTAGGATAAGGGCCTTATTTTTAAGAGGTATGTGCTCAGTATTTCAAGTCATTCAGGGGTAAAATGTCTTGAGGCTGACAACTTTGAAATCGCTCAGAGAAAACACCTACATGTTCAAAGCCAATATGGAAAACCTTAGCAAGTGTTGGATTATCCACCAGGTCGATTCCACTATTAAACTATTATACATCATCGTAGAATTCTTTCAAGTTTCCTCTACGGAGCTTTTCAGAATAAAAAGTTGGGGGAAATAGAGAGTGGACAGTTTTGGTCGGATTTTAGTCTGCTAATCTAGCCCTCTGCTGATAGTGCCCACATTCGTCTCTTGACCCACTCCCCAAAAGTACATCGTGAGACGTGGACCCCCCTACCTCTGTCTGGCAGTGGGTGCCATTCCGTGGAGAAACCCACAGACTTGGTTTAACAACAAGGGTTCAAGTCAGACACCATTCTTTTTGGTTGTGTGGCCCATTACCAACGCCTTAATCTAGGTCTCAGTTTCCTTATCCGTAAATGGGAACCGGAATTCCTATGTCTTAGGTATGTCGGAGGCCTCTGCCGGAGCTGCAGTGAGCGGCTGGCGGACAACGGGGAGTTTCGGGAGTCTTTAGGCACCAGGCCCTGGGCACCTCCTGTGGGGTTCAGTCCCTCCCAAGCGGCTCCAGGGCTGCCCGGCCATGCGTGGGGCCTAGCTAGGCTCCGGGCCGGTTATGGCCCTACCCTAAGCCCACCCTACCCGCGAGCCCAATAAAGAAGGACTTTCTGGGATTTCTAGTTGGTGGTCCCTTTAAGGCAGCCGCCCACTCATCCAGTCACGGACGCCGCAGCCGTGGGGCAGCCTCCGGGAATCAGCTCCCGGCTCGGACCCGGGATCAGGCTCCGTCTCCCTGTAGATCTCCGGTCCGAGCCAAAGAAGAGGGGCAAAGTCCTGAAACCACTGAAGAACGGCTCCCGGTTAAAGGGAAGAAGTAAGAACTGTGGCAGAAAGGAAACACCCAGTCTCCCCGTGCCCCTCTCTAAGATGGAAGGTCCGCGGCTTCACGCTCCTCCTGACCCTCCCTTCCCATTGGTTATCTGGGAATTGGTTTTCCAATAAGACGAGCGCTTATTGGTTAAATTGGGACCGTTGCTAAAGCGATTGGCGCAGACGGCATTGGAGGGTCGTCTGGCGAACTAAGCGGGAGAGGAAGGAAAAAGGATAGTAAAGGGAAAGCTTGAGGCGGAGGCGGGACCAAGGAAATGGCAGCCCTTATTGGCTCATTAAAAGCTAAGGGGAGGCTCTGGAATTCTCTTTCCTCGTGATTAGTCCTATTCAGGGAACGGGGGCGGGTACTTAGGAAGAGCGGCAGAAGCGCCTGCTTCGATTGGTCAAACCTGGAGGGAGGTGGAGCGCTCGCGGCGGTTGATTGGTGCGGTAGGTGAGGAGGGCGGAGTTCTGAGCCGGAGGTTTTTGTTGTGAGGGTCGGTTGTCAAGCAGCGACCAATCAGGGCCGGGGATGGAGGCAAGTGGGGGTCGCGCCAGGAGCGGAGCCTTGGCCTCCGGAGCCTAAGCTGCAGGTGGAGTGGGCGAGGGGGCGAGGAGGCAAGGGGGACTCTGGGCCTAGTATTGGGCCAAGCCAGGCGGGGTCGAGCCGGGCTGTGGCGAGAGGGCTCCGGGCGGGGGGAAGTTGGAGCCCATGCTCCGCGAGCTGAGAGGAGTGGGAGGATCCGGCGAGGCCGAGGGACCAGCCCCAGCCTCGGGACGGGCGAGACGGGCGGGACGGGCGTGGGGGCCGGAGGAGAAAACCAGGGAGGCCGGAAGCGGAGCCGGGGGTCTGCAGGAGGCTGAGTGATGAATAGGGACACTGAAAGCAGGAGAGTGAATGAATGGGGGATATTGATCGCAGAAGGGGAAGGAAATAGAGGGGGTCTGGCGAGGCAGGGGTTAGGTTAAGGAGCTCAGGAGACAGGATGTGCAGGATTGGGGGACACAAGCGACAAGGAGAAGGGGAATGAACGAAGGACTAGAGAGGCAGAGCTGGGGAATCCAGGAGAGAGGGGGCGGAGAGGAGAGCGTTCATGGGAAAGAGGCTTGGAAAAAGGGGGTAGAAGCTTCAGGAGGTGGCCTTTTAGAGTTGGGGAGGCATAACGACTCATGCGCAGACTGGAGACCTAGTTCCCAGTACTGTCCTTGGGAACTGAGGGGACCAGGAGTAGTTCCCTTGCTGCCAAGGGAGGGATTGGACCCTCAGGGCCCTCTTTGACATTCTCCCCAGAGATGACTTAAATGCCTGCCTCTGGAGTGCTTCTCCTGGGCCCCAAAGCTTTGCCTCTGGCTCCACCCCCTTCCCATAGCGTCAGAGGAAACAGTGACTCCCAGAAATCTATGTGAACTGCAGACATGTGGTCTTCCCCACCCCACTGCGGCTGCTGCTGCTCTCTGGGCAGCCAGCCTCCTGGAACAGAGCCTCCTGCCATCCCATCATCCTGGCCTCTGGGAGGACCTTTCTTTCCCTGTGTTCCAAGTCACCCTGCCTGAGGTGCCCCTCCAGATTCTCAAACACGATTTACAGTTCAGCTCCTGGCTCTGGTGGCTCTGGTGGCTCTGGTGGGTGTCTATGCAGTAGCCTTGGTGATCCGGGGAGCTGCGCCGTGGTTCTGCAAGCCCAGCATGCCCTGAACTCTCACCAAATGTTTTCTGATAAGCCATCGCCTTCTGTTTGTGTTCCAGCCCAGTGTTAAACTGACATGGCTCGAGCCTGACCTTCCATAAGCTGCGATCCTGACGGGCACACACAGGCTGTTGCTGTAGCTGCTGTGAATGATCTAAAACCACGAGGCAGTCCGGGACTGAGAGACGAGGCATTCCCTCTGCCTGGATGTGTGGGAACTCCCTGCCAACTTGATCGGTGGATCTGGGGGGGGATCCACCCCCACCCCGTGAGCAAAGTACAGTCCATCTAGTGGGTGGAGCTTCAGGTGCCAGCCAACTGAAGGATGGCCACCCCTGTGGTCACCAAGACGGCCTGGAAGTTACGTGAGTGACTTTCTTTCCTTTTTTTTTTTTTCTTTCTCACCCCATTTATTCCATTAGCTGCTTGTTTCCAGGTGGCCTGAACCCCCGGATTTATCTCCTGTTCTTGGCACAGAGGGAGACTCCTAGCCTTGGAGACAGACCAGGATGCAAATCATGACTTTGGCACTTCTTAGCGGGGTGACACTGGGCAGGTGACTTAACCTTTCTGAGGCTTCATTTCCTGTCTGTACAGTGAGCTAATCACACCTGCATCATAGAGCTGCTGTGAGACCCAGGCAGGGTGGTGAACATAAGAGAAGCACTTGGTGCATTTAGGCTGACAGGCGGGACTGGGGGAGAGATGCTGAGAGGTGTTCCTGGCATTTGCAGACTTCTCATGGGCCAGGCTTCCTCTGTGAGATCTTGGGCATCTTGGAGCCGGTCGGGGGGTGGTAGTGAGAGAGTAGGCCCAGAGATGCTGGCAGTGCTCTGGAATGTCACTAAGCTCCAGCACCGCCCACCCTCACATTATTCTCCACAAGCAGCTCTGAACTCTGATCGAGCAGCTCTAAACTTTCTGATCGTAGGACCTCTTTCTATTTTGAAAAATTGTTGAGGACCCCAAGGAGTTTTTGTTCATGGGAATCATCACTATTTACATGATAGAAATCAATATTCAGGCATCTTAAGACACAAGAGTATACAGTCAAATGTGCCACTCGTGATGGGGCCATCATATTTCTTGTATCTTCCTGAAACCACCCACACCCCCGTATGCTTGTGAGCAAACAAGAGTGTAAATAGTCAGATGCCATCTTGGTGTTATTATGAAAATAGTTTTGTTCTCTTGGACCCCCAGAAAGGATCTTGAAGATCCTTGAAGATCTTGAGGATCCTAAGGTCCCCCAGATCATATTTTGGGAACTGCCTTACACCACTTGTGATAACCTGTGGCCATACTGGTCACCTTCTGCTATGAGCTGTCCCCAGCTTTTTTCAGAAGCTGGGCAAGGCTCCCCCACTCTTTAACTGTTAGAACCTGGGCAAAGCCCAGTGCTGGACCTCAGTGTGTTCACAGGTCAATTGAGAGCTTTGGGTAGTTTCAAGTTGTTTCTTAGCGGTAGGATTCTGAGAGAACCCTGTCGTAGGCTCCCAAGGCGGGTGTACTTTGCAGAGAGTGGCTTTGTGTTTATTGGGGTTATATATTCCTTCAGTAGCTGGTCTTTCCTGAGCATAGAACCAGGCACTGGGGAGATAGTTGGCTGGGGGTGGAGGTTGCAAAGCGGATGAGGTCTCCGTGCAATGGGGCCTAGAGCCTGGGGAGAGCAAGAGGCAGAAATCAGGTAACCACACCCCTCCATTTCTCCTTATCTGATTCCAAACTGGAGCATGTGCTTTCAATCAGTTAATTAGAGGGGTAGAGGAGTGCCGTAGGCTGCCTAAAGAGACATACAAAGGACCTGGGGCAGGAAGCTTATAAGGCACGTTGGAAGGGCTCAAAGGCACCCATGGGCTGCCACACCACAGTGGAGAGAATGTGCCAAATGAAGCTGTTGGGGTCCTCAGGGGTATATGTCCACAGGACCCCAGCCCTTCTGAGGCCTTGGCTTTATCTTAAAGGCGAAGTCAAGCCATCGAAATATTCAAACAAGAGGTAATAGGATCAGGCATGTTGGGCTCTGGTGACAAGTTCATGTGCATAGCCATCTCCATGATTATAAGCTCTCTGAAGAGCCCAAAGCCAAGTGACCCTTGGCTCCCTGTGCGTATAGAGTCCAGCAAGGATCAAAAGCTTCTAGGCCTGGTGCCCATCACATACCTACCTCTCTTCGAGGTCCCCGGCCCTTCCAGGGGCTTCAGTCAGGCTGGAAACCTAGGCATGCTACTTAAAGGGGAGTGATCTGAGCCTTCTAGAAGGGCCCAACCTCCAAATCCTTCTCACCCCCATGTCTGTAGGTCTTCAGCTGGATGCCCTGTGCCAGGACCAATCCGATCAGGCTGTAGCATGAGCATAGGAACCTTCTCACTGTCCTTCCCACTGGCTCCCCAGTGCTGGGCCTAGAGCAGACGCCCAGGACACATGTGTATTATGAATTAAGGGCTGTCTCCAGGGACAGTAGTTCTGAGGCCCACAGAGGAGTAGCAGTGTGCCCAAGAAGGCCTGGGGAGGTGGGGCCCAGCTGGAACTTTCCCTGGGAAGCGTGAGAGCCAGGGTAGACACCCAGACCTTATAGGTGACTCACATGTCAGGGACAATGCACACAGGAAGTGTTTTCAGATAAGGGGAGAGGGCCCAAGGCTTGGGAACAGAGTGCTGAGGGAGAAGGTGGTTTGTCCTCTTTCTGAGTTGGCCAGTCAGTGGGGCCCCGCAGAAGCTGTTGAACAGATAAGAGGCTATGGCCCAAGCCCCAGAGCACCTCAGGCATCTGTCCCTAAGTGTCCAGAGGACAGAAGGCTCTATAGTTGGGATGAGAACTAGGAAGGGGCTCAGCTCCCTTGGGTCCAGTGATGGGGTCCCTGAGCCCCCCGCTGACGTTGGGGCCTGCTGGACACTCTTGCCTCTGCTAGGGCTGGGCACTGCCCATCCCTGGCTCTGGCCAGGCCAGGCCCTGAGGTGGGATCTGTGAGATCGAGCCTGGGGTCTGGCGCCCCGGGCAGGCTTGACGGGCCCTCTGAGACATGCTGCCTGACAAACAGCCTCTCTGGGCCTCGTTTCCCAGTTGCCTTGTGGTCTGAGGCCTGTGCCACAGAGACCCCCAGGTAGGGTAGAGGCTGGAGCTGGAGGCTGCCTGTGGAACGAAGCAAGCCCTTTCCCTCAGCATCACCCAAGCCAGCCTCCCAGTTGCCTCAGGGTGTCAGCGGGATTTTCCCTTTGCTGGGGTGGGGAGACCTGTCTTTTCTCCTCATTCCAGGAGGAACTCGCTGAGGGCCTGGCTTGGTGGTCTGGGCTGCCTCTTGGTTCCTTGCTCATGTTTGTTCTCTTTGGAACCCTAAGGAGACCCTCTGTGGCCCATGTCTGCCGCCCCTGCTGCTTCCCCAGCGGCCGGGGCCAGGGGCCCTCAGGCTGCCCACCATGGCCATCCCTCCCACTCTGTCTGGTCAGTCCTCATTCCCACCCCTCCCACCCAGGCCTCTCAGTCAGCTGCCTCCTGCCTCCCATGCAGCCCACCCTCCTGTGCCTGCCGAGGTCCCCATCGCCCACCGTCTGTGCTTTAGCCTTACTAACAACCACCGAGCACAGCTTACAGCATGTTCTCGGTGGCTCCTCAGCAACTCGGTGAAGCAGGCACTGCTATTACCCCATTTACCCGACGAGGAACCCAGCCTCAGAGAGGGTGAGTGACTGATCTAAGGCCACACAGCCTGCAGTAGCCACGCTCAGACCAGAACCTGGTCCACTGTTCTGAAGCTGCAGGCTGAAGCCCTAGGTGGGCTCACTTGGAGGCAGCTTGTCTAGAGTTGACCCGAACGGTTCCCAAAGCGTGTTCCCCAAAGTGGGTTTACGTGTATAGCAAGCCGCAGCAGAGAGATGCTTAGGGGGTTACGTGGGTCAGTATTTTTCATTTTAATAATTATTTTTTGTTTTTTATCTCATATTCTAGAAGAAATATAATGAACGTATCAATCTTGTAACTTTATGGATTTTATTGCTTAATTGTCTTTATATAGACAGAGCTAAAAACGGAAGGCAAGTCAGTGTTTTAAGTCGAGCAGAGTAAGCATGAGAATATGACCAGTCGGCGTGCAGAGAAAAGAGCACAGCTTGCAGCCTGGGGGTGGGACAGGGAATACCCGAAGCGGGGAAGTAGCCGTTCCTGCCTTGGGTGCAGGCCTGCCCTCGCTGTCAGGCCTCTGGGTCCTGCCGGGGTGTCTCGCACCAGAGGGGAGCCGAGGCGAGCAGACCCTTCCACCTGGGCTTCGGGTGCCAGGACCAAGGGCCTCACTGGGCAGGGCCCAGCCCTGCTCTCCGTGGCCGTGACTAGCCCTCTGACTGCGTTCTCCTCCTGTCTTTCCTTGTGTAGAGGAGATTGTCGCCCACGCCAGTAATGTGTCCTCGCTGGTGCTGGGCAAGGCCTCCGGGCGGCTGCTGGCTACTGGTGGGGATGACTGCCGTGTCAACCTGTGGTCCATCAACAAACCCAACTGCATCATGGTGAGACTCGCTGGCCGGTGGGGGACAGGGCCAAGGCCCGGGGAGGGGCGTGGGGTGGGGTCGGGGGCAGGCAGCTCTGTAGGCTCTGTCGGGCCCAGGGCACCCCAGCGGGAGGCTAGGGGGACACAGCACTGCCTCAGTGCCCCCAAGATGTCTGGGACCACAGCCAGCCCTGAGGAATGGGGAAGTCACTTGGTGGTGGACAGAGTTCTGGCGCACCTGTGTGAGTAAAGCTAAAATAAGCCCATGGGCCTGTGATGGACGCTTGCGCACCAGCCTGCCCGCCCACCTGTCAGCTGCACTTGGACGTTACTTTGAACCATCCCCTGTCTGAAGCTGCTTAGTGAGTGGTTCTTTACTCGCTCTTGACCCGGTTGCACAACCAATTCCTTGCCAAGACCTGTCTTCCAAAACAGGAAAACATGAAGGAGGAAAAAATACAAAAATGAATTCCATTTCCATCATCCAGAGACCGCTACGGTGTCCTTCTAGGTGCCGGCGTAGGCCCGTCTGTGTGCACACGCATGTACACGTACGTACACACGTGCAAACACGTACCCGTGTGCACCGCATGTCTGTAGAATGGCATATTTTTGGAACACTGTCTTATTTACTCCTGTAGCCTGGGTTTTGAAGGAAACAATCTTTATTGTTTGTGAGCATTTTCTGGTGTCAGCAACTACCCTTCCACAGCAGGCTTTGTGATGGCTTCGCGGTGCACCATCCTCGGCAGGAGCCGGAATTAGCTTAGCCTCGCCCTGTTCCCAGCACGAAAGTCCTCTGCGCGCTTGGGCTCTGCTGGGCGGAGGAGGAGAACGTCCTCCTCCCCCTCAGCCTCTGAGCAGGTCTCCGGAGGCCGCGTTATCTGGGGGTGTGCACTTTTTAAAAAGCTTTCAAAACAGATTGCCAAATCGCCCTCCAGAAATCAATTTACATTCTCTCCCGCTGACACTGGGTCCTGTCCTGTCCCCCTCCGGGACCTTGCAAGCACAGGTTATTAACATTCTTTTGATCTTGGCCACCTAAAGATAAAAAGGGGTGGGAAGTTATTTATTTTTTTAGTAGAAACTTAATCACCTCAGTATTTCTGTGAGATGCAGGCCAGGGCCGAGAGCCCGGCTGAGCCAGGGCTCTGGTGAAGAACCAAACTGAAATTGCTTTGTTTTGTTTCACTTTGTTTTCAGGGTTCCAATGAGTCCCACCCCCCAAAATGCCAAAGTAACACAGATGGAAAACGAGCCAACAAACCCTGGCCAAAACAGGCCTGAAGCGACCCCATGCTCTCATCCCGCTTCTTCCTCGGGGGTCAGCCTGCAGGGCTCCCCCCGTGCCCGCCCCACTGAGGAGCCGCAGACCTGGCGACTTCCTGCTCGCCCTCAGAGTTAGACATCCCGGGCCCCCTGCTTGGGGTCCCTTCTGCCGGTCCCTGTGTGTTCTGAGCACGTGCGAGCTCTTACCGCTCAGGGTCCAAGGGTCGCGGGGTACAAAGTGAGAAGTCTTCTTTCCTCCCCTGACCCCCACAACCCTCCCCGGACAGCCACGGTCCGTGATCACCCTGTGTCCTGCTAGAATTATTTTCTGTCTGCGAGCAAATATGTACGTCTCTTCCCTTCCCCCTCCACTTTTGTTTTGTTTTGCTTACACAGACTGTATCTTATATATACCTTTTTCCACCTAAAAGAGTCATGGAGATTAGTCTTCATCGTATTCAGATGGTCGCCTCGTTGGTCTCTATAGCCAGATAGTGTTCTGTCTCCAGGGTGACCACCGCTTAGCCGACAGTGTCTGCTGGTGGGCATTTATATGGCTTCTGGTGTTTTGTGAAAAAGATTCACCGTTTTGTTTGCTGTGTGGTTGAGTGTGTGCGGGGGTAGGCTCCCAGGGGCAGAGTTGCTGGCGTGGAGAGGTTGTGTGTTTCTAAATGTGGACATATTTTGCCCAGTTGCTCTCCCCCATGGAGTTTATACCCATTTATACTCCTGCTGGAGATGGCCAGGAGTCACACAAGCTGCTTGTGACCATCTGGCCTTTGGGCAGTTCTGCTGGGGAGCAATTTCCCCATTACCCCCCGCCCACCTCCCAAACGTTGTTTTAGCAAACAGTGGAGTTACTGCTGTGCTTTGGGGTGACCAGTGCTGGGCAGGGAGTGACAGAAGCCATGGACTTCAGATTTGGGCCTCTTTCCAGAAAGCTGGAAATGCCAGCATCTCCCACTCCTCTCGGGCTGTTCTAGGGCCTGGCTCAGTCCTGCTCCAGCTCTGGCCTGCCCTGAGTTGGGTGACACTTTTCTCCAGTAAATTCACCAAAGGCTCTCTCTGGGTTCCACAATTCCTTGCCTAGGAACATGGCAGGGTCCTCCACCAGGGGCAGCCTCTGGGGATCTAGGCATTCCAGAGGGGGGAGATGTGTGCCATTGACAAGCCAAGCCTCGGTTCTGTCAGGGTTTCCCCCACTGAGGAGCTCGTCCAGGCAGAGGGGAGACGGAAGCAGAGCCTAGGTGGGCAGTGGTTTGGACTCAGGGCTGGAGGGTCAGCTGCTCCCCCCTTCCAAGGGGCCCAGGGCCATTTTGGCAAATGATGCCCACATCATGGGCACAGTGGGCCATGGGATGGGGTTGGAGCATGACAGGGGTCTGGCCCAGTTTTAGCCCTGGGAGCTGAAGCCAGGAGAAGCAGCTGGCCACCCTGCGTGCAGGAAAGCCTAGATGCGGTTCCACGGAACACAGCCTCCCTGCTTGAGCCCCTTCTTGCTGCTGCCCTTCACAGGGAGCCAGAATGTGGGCCAGCAGCTCGGGCTTTCTCCACGCAGGGCACTGAAGCTGCTACCCTCTCTCCACAGAGCCTGACGGGTCACACGTCCCCAGTGGAGAGCGTCCGCCTCAACACCCCGGAGGAGCTCATCGTGGCCGGCTCCCAATCAGGCTCCATCCGCGTTTGGGACCTAGAAGCTGCCAAAAGTAGGCATCTGCACTCACCTTCCCACAGGCACACCGGTGGCCGTGTTATCTCAGGCTCTGCTGTGGAGCTGCTTCCTCCAGGAAGCCTGTCCTGACTACATTGGGTGCTTCCCTCCGGGAGACCCTGACCACTCCACCCCCTTGAGCTTAGCAGCAGCGACATGCTGTTGCTGTCCGTGAGTGCTGACACTCAGGAGGCAGCAGGAAAGGTCCAGACGGATCACTGTGGGTGTGTGGGCGGGTGGGTGTTTAGATTCAGAACCTGGAAAAATGTCAGGTGCCACCAGGGGCCACACAGGACAAGTAAACAAGGGGGCCTGTGGGGAGAACTGGGGTGTCTTGACTTGGCGGTGGCTGCCTCTTAGCCTGCCTGCAGGGATGGGGCTTAGGGTAGCCCGATCCTCTGTCTCCTTGAGCTTTGTTTATATTTGCTTTTCATCTTTAGAGAAGTTATACATAGTTTAAAAAGTCAAATGCCAGGCATTCTACAAATAAGCACGATGGAAATGAGAAGCTTCACCCCACTCCTTCCCACTCTCCAGACGCCTCAACCTTCTGTCCTTTGACCTGGTGTCTTGCTACCTCCCCTTTCCGAAGCAACATGGTATTATGGCAACTCCTGTCCCTGGCTGCCTTCCTCCTGGGCAAGACAGGAAGTTAGCTCTCCTAGGGGCGCCTGGCTGGCTCAGTCGGGGAGCCTGGGACTTGATCTCAGGGTTATGAGTTTGAGCCCCACCTTGGGTGTAGAAATTATTAAAAAAATAAAATCTTAAACAAAAAAGAAATTAGTTCTTAGAGCTGCTGGCCCACCCTTGTCACTCCTAGCCTTGTTCTCCTGATTTCACCGTGTAAATAGTCTGCATTTATCGTACCAGGCCTGCAGAGCTGTGACAGCGGATTGTGTTTCTTCTGGAGTTAATGGCTGTTCTTTTTCCATCTGTATATGTCCTACATCTGTTACTAATTTGTCCCCAGATTCTCTGCCTGAAGAGGAGGCTCCTCCTTGAGGTACCCTTGAAGCCATCCCATAATTGAGGTGTCTCTTCTCAGAGCCTCTGTCCCCTGGGTCCCAGTGTCAGGGGGAGCACCCGGGCCTGCAGCTCGGCCGCCATCTTGGGGCCACCTTGTCTTCAGGGAGGTCTCCCATCTCACTGCTGCGCCAGAGTCCGTGTTACCATCTTTCTTGGTTTTCTGCCTCTCTCTGCTGGAGCACGTTGTTTCATAGCTGACTGAGAAGGGGTGCATGACAGGCACAGTTTTCGAGACCTTCTGTGGCTAAAAATGACTTTGTTCTACCCTCATCCTTTTTTATTTATTTTAGAGTCCGTAGAAGTCTAGATTGGAGATTGTTTTCCCTCAGAAGTTTGAAGGTGCAGCTGCGTCGCATGTTAGGTTCCTGTTTGGTGGCCATTGGGAGGTCCGCGCTTCTCCTCTTGGGTCCCTCGCATGTGACCTGCTTCTCCTGTCTCTCTGCAAGCTCATAGGCTGTTTGTCCCAGCGTCCTGGGGTTTTGTAGTGATGACCCTTGGTCCCATGCTAGATCCTAGCTCGGTTCTTTCAGTGTGTCAGCTTGTGCCTTTGGTTCCGGGCCACGTGGGGAGTCTCGCCTTGCCAAATGTGGGGGGACTCTCAGTGTCCGTGGGTGTGGCCACGTGGCAGTGGGCCCAGTGTTGCCAGCTGTATAGATTTTTCAAGAGAAGCTGGGGATTTGGACATTTAAGTGGAAATCCCCCCATCCCCATTTCTAAATGTTGACCGCTAATTCAACATTTTTTTCAGAACACTATGCAGAGCAGCCTTGAGAGGTCCAAGTAAAACCTGCTTGCTTGCTGCTTTTTGCCCGCGTCCAGCCTGGACCTCCCAGCGTGCCAGGCCAGAGGCCCTCTGCTGCCTGAAGGATGGGAGAGGGAGTCGTGGTGTGGGTTTTGTGGGGGCTGCTTTTTCCAGAAGACAGCCTCCTTGCCTGGTTGAGACGTGGGTTCTCTCTGGGCCTCTCCTGGGGTATGTGCTTTACCGTGATGGCTGCCGCCAGCGCGCATGCCCAGTGGCCGGGGCCTCTGCTCCAGGACGGTGCTCTTGTTGGAAGGATGGTCCTCAAGAGAGATGTTGCCCCAGGCCTGCTGGGTGAGGCTTGCCTGCCTGGGGATGGGTGCATGTGCAAGACAGAGCCCGTGAGATCGCCAGTCGGGCCACATGCTTAGCATCTCAGCATGCGCTCCTGCTGCCTGGCCCCACATGGAGCTGGAGTGTTGCTGGACTGGAAGAGGATGGGGGGGAGCAAGCCCTGGCTGGCCAGGCCCAGGCTGAGGGGGCAGAGAGGCTCAAGCACAAGGCAGTTTGTTCCTGGGACGTCTCTGCCTGGATCTCAGTCCCAGTGGATAGCACCAGCCATTCAACGTTCACCAAGGAGCAAGGGACAAAAGACAGAAGCCAAGGGCACCCGTGTCCCTCAGCTGTGACTACTTCGCACAGAAGGGAAGTGTGAGGAGTTCCTTGAGGCGGGCAAAGAATGAAAACCGAACACCTGTGGAATTCCTGGGCCCTGGAGTCTCAGGGTTGGTTACTCTCCAAGGAGCTCGTTTCCAACACTTGGCCCAGACCCCACGCCCAGGGAACCTGATTCAGTAGTGGCGGAAGCCCCAGATCTGGCTTGCGCTAAGCTTCTAGATGGTTCTGATGCAGAGCCGGTTTGGCAGGGCCCCCTTATTTGACACATGGGCAAACTGGGGCCCAAGGAGGACCCTTGAACCTGATAAAGACCCCGTGGCCAGGGTGGTGGAAGCTGGGACTGAAATTCTGGCGTCAAGACTCCCATTCCAGTGCTCTTCATCCTGCTGTTCGAGGGGTTCAGTGATGGAATGGAAACTTGCCCTCAGCAGCCATGGCAGGAAGAGCTCAGACCACAGGCAGACCTCCACCCCCACCCACCACAGCCTGAGTGAAAACAAGGGGCAGCTTGGCGCCCAGGTGCAGAGAGGCTCCTAACAGGGCTGGCTGATCATCACGTGGGTTGCGCTGAAAAGCCGCCCATCGCTGGAGCATTTGGGCGGAGGTCGAACAGCGACCCCCTGGGAGGGCCTAGAGCTCCCACACAGGGCGGACACATCCAGGACGCCCCTCCAGCCTGCGGCTCCTGGTCCTGCGACAGTCCTGCGGTAGGAGACCTTCCAAGGGCCTTCCTGGGACAAGAGCAAGGGCAGAAGTCACGCCGGAAGAATGCGGTCCTGCCTGCTTTCCACGGCGCAGCCAGAGGGCAGGGTGGGCCAGTCTGGCCATCCCATAGGAAGGTAGCATGTGTTTTGTCAATCTGACCTACACAGGGGTGGAACCTGCCACATCCTCTTGGGGCAGGGCAGGATTTTGGAAGCCTCGTTGTGGGACGCAGAGCCAGTAGGCTGGGAGGTGGGCACGGACTGGAGCAGGAGCCAGCATGCGTCCGCTCCCTCCGGGCCCCGGGCTTGGCCAGCAGAGCAGCGCCTGAGCCCCCGGTGGTGTATGACTGCCCCAGAGTGTGGGGAGGAGCGGCTGAGGTTTCAGTGTGGTTGAATTAGCTACTCAATAGACAGAGACACAAGGTTTGCTCGAGGGCCGGGCCGGGCCGGGCCGGGCCAGGCCAGGCCAGGCCAGGCCGAGCCGGGCTCAGCCCCGGAGCTGCAGTGGAAGCTGAGGTTTCCCAGGGTAGCAGGAGGTAACAGGCCCCAGTCACGTCCTCTTCGTGTTCTCTTGGTTCGCACATGTCGACACCATGTCACCCTCTGTGAGGGATGTAAATAAAGGTGGCTCAGTCCCGGCTCAGTAGCGGGCTGGCCCCAGGTAGGATGGGTGGATGTGGGGGGCTGCGGGCAGAGGGATGCAAATGTCCTTGAGGCAGGGAACCCCCAGAGCAGCTCACTTTTTCCTGCCCTTGGGTGTGCCTGCCTCTGTCTTAGGAGCCCTAGACAGATGGGCTCCCTTGACTCGGGCAAAGGGTCACATGGTAATGCCTGCTTCTCAGGACTCCAACGCCAGCTTTAATTTCTGGCTCTGTGCACTGCCAGAGCTCCCCTCGGAGCTAGCAGCTGGCAGCTGTGCACTGGCAGCTCCCCCCTCGGGGCCTCAGGCCCTCGCCCATCTCCTGGTACTGTTTGCAGGGGTTGGGGGGAGTGCCGAAGTCACTCAGGCTGTCTTCAGCACCCCAGGTATGCTCAGCAGCTCTCCTGGGGACGAGGGAGGTGCCCAAATGACTGTGGCACTGAGTAGTGGTCCTTGCTGGTGCCAGAAGACCAAGGACCAAGACAGGTGCTCTGAGGCCAGAGGAGAAGAGAAGGTCTGCTTTGGGGTCAGAGCCCTCCTTCAGAAAGGACGGACAGCGAGAATAACTCTAGCTGGTATTCATTGAGCACTTACTGTGTGCGCACCCATGCTAAGCCCCTTATGTCCCGTTCTCCTAACTCTGATTGTGACCCATTATGAGCCTCATGGAGGGGAAGGGATTGCCCAGGGTCACCTGGCAAGCGAGGAGAAGCGCAGAACTGCTCCCATTTCTGGCTGGCTCCAGAGCCCTGAACCTGGACCTTGAGGGATGGAGACAATCTCGTGCAGTAGAGTTTGAATCCCTCTGTGCCTGGAGCACGCCTGTCTTGACCCTAAAGCACTGCATTTGGAATCTGCTTGGACCCTCCTCCAGCGGGAGTGCGTCGCCTCATGACACGGCCATAAGGATGGCCGGATTCCCACAGCCCTTGGCCCCTCCACTTACGGGGTGATCCGTTTCCTTCAGACAGCAGAATTATGAATCTTTCAAAAAGCCAGACACTTGAGGCCGGAGAGAAGAGGCAAATGTGAGTGTCACCGGGGAATACTCGGAGACAGAGACACAAGGTTTGCTTGCGGGCCTGGCCGGGCTCGGCCACGGAGCTGCAATGAAAGCTGAGGTTTCCCAGGGTAGCAGGAGGTAACTGGCCCCAGTCACATCCTCTGTGTGTTCTCTTGGTTTGCACAGCATCTCCTCTTGTCCTCACAGCTACCCTCAAGATCCCTTGTGCAGGGGACTGGTGTGAGCACCACAGCCACTCCAGGGAGGCCCTCCACATTGCCTTTCTTGGGGCCTTTGCCCACCATTTCCCCTGTGCCTAATATCCTCCCTCACCCTCCATTCACTGATGTCCTGTTTGAATACTGCCTTCTCCAAAAAGCCTTCCTGGATTTCTCTTTTCAACCAAGCAGCTTCTCTGCCAGTATGGACCTCGCCTGCCTGCCTCTTCTGTCTCTGCTGTGGCGAAATGCCCAGCGGAACATAAGCTGTCTGTCTGTCCATGAACTGAGTGCAGTGGTTTTCCAGCTCTGCTGCCTCCAGGGCAGTGGCCTTATAAGAGCACACTGGGACGAGCCCAGGGGCGCAGGCTGTGGGGGCTCGGGTTAGGACAGAACTGGCTGTCATCTCTCGGGACAAAAATAGGAAGGTCGGGCGCTGCAGTGACAGGACTCCGGTTGATGTATCTCCCTGTTTTGAAAATCACTGCTGTTCTGGTTCTCTGTGCAGTTATCACGGAAGCATGCACCTGCGACCACCACACACATCCTCTTCCGGGTGCCTGGCTTGCCCCTCATGCCCCTGTCTCTGCTCTCTTCCTCGGCAGTTCTTCGCACGCTTATGGGCCACAAAGCCAACATCTGCAGCCTGGACTTCCACCCGTACGGCGAGTTCGTAGCCTCGGGCTCCCAGGACACGAACATCAAGGTGAGACCCTGTCTGTGCCCTGTGTCCTCCGCTGGGACACGTGCATCCCACGTGAGGAGTGGGCCTTTTGGTGCCATGGGAGGGCCTCTTCCCTCTGTGGTGGTGTCCACAGCCTCCGAGGGAGGGGGACTTGGAAATGTTCGCCAGACATTCCTGCTCAGAATGCCCAGCTTTCACAAGCAGTTTCCAGATTGCTATCATTTTGGGGTGTGATGACTGGAGTGCCTGGAGCCCCTCTCTGCTCATGGCCGCACACCGCCCTCTGACCTGGGCTCCTCCCCTCTGACCCGGGCAAGGCCGCTGCCACCCGAGCCCACTTTGGTCGTGACCTGTCCTGACTCTGCCGCCCTTCTGCCCGCAGCTCTGGGACATCCGGAGGAAAGGCTGTGTTTTCCGGTATAGGGTAAGGAAGGCGCCCTTTGTTGGACAGTCCGTGAGCCCCATGCAGGCGTGGGGGCTGGGGTAGTGCCCAGACCCTGGCAGGGGCTGGAAGGGATCACCGTCCAACCTGGGGGAGAACGTGAGAAACAAGAGTCCAAGGGAGAAGCCAGAATCTCGAGCAGAGCAAGAGCGCTGTGGGGGTTCCACCTGGATCCCCCGCTTTCCACGAATCCTCCCAGTGCCGTGTTTACCAAACTGCGCTCTGTACTCTGGTTCCGTAGGCAGGTAATAGGTGTCATGAGGTGAAAAGGATTCCTAGTCCTATGTGTTTTGGAAGCACTGAGTTGAATACATAATTTTGGAGGTATTTACGCCCTTGACATTGAGAGAAAACACCTGACTCCCCAAAAAGAGGCGTAAGATACGTGGTTTTCCAAATTGTCTGACCGGGGAGTCGGATTTCCTGGAGCATCCCGCAGCACTGGGAATCCTGACTGCGTGGGGAGGTGTCCCTCTGGGATATCTCTGACACACGGCCATCTGGCTCCACCTCGCCTGCTGGTCAAGGGCAGGGAGGAACGGGGTGGAAAGAAGGGCAGCCCATCGGGCCCTGGCTCCTCGGGTGAGCTCAGTGCTCTGTCCTCTCAGGGACACACCCAGGCTGTGCGGTGCCTCCGGTTCAGCCCCGACGGGAAGTGGCTGGCATCGGCTGCAGATGACCACACAGTGAAGGTAGCACCTGGCCTGGCCTGGGACTGGGGTCTGGGGTCTGCTGAATGCTTTCCAGCCGGGTCTACACCTCCCTCCTGATCAGGCTCGCACATCTCACAGGGGAAGGCAGCTTGTAGACTGGGGTGGGGGTTGGGGAAGGGGAGCCGCCGCCAGGGGACAGCAGGCAGCTGAGATCCCGGGCCTAGTCCTGACCTCCAGCCTGCCCTGCTCTAGCTCTGGGATCTGACTGCTGGCAAGATGATGTCCGAGTTCCCTGGCCACACAGGGCCTGTCAACGTGGTGGAGTTTCACCCCAATGAGTACCTGCTGGCTTCTGGCAGCTCGGACAGGTGAGGAAGAACAAGGCCTGTCGCCCATGACTGCCATGTCTCACATGTTTGTCCTCTGTGTGTGAATGTCTGTCCCAGTCTCCCTCTGTCGTGAGGTGTTCTCTGCCCAATGATGCTATGTAGACTGACCTGACTTCCGGCCAAGCCGGGCTGGGGGCCCTGGTCCTATCTCTTCCCGGGCTCTGGTCCCCAGCCCCAGTGTCCTGGGCTGTCATGGCATGTCCAGGTACAAAGCCCATGCTCCCCTCCCATCGGCCAAGTCTCTCCTCCTGCCATGCAGGGTCAGCCCCTGGCCCTGGGTGGTGTTCTTAGTGGCTACCACCCAGGGGACAGGCATTTGCAGAGAAATAGGCCTCCAGAAATAGGCCTCCATGGACCTGCATGGAGGCCAGCACGGGGATGCCGGCTTCCCAGCACAGTCTGCCTGCCTTTGCAGGACCATCCGGTTCTGGGATCTGGAGAGGTTCCAGGTAGTGAGCTGCATCGAAGGAGAGCCAGGGCCCGTCAGGTGCGCCGGCAGCCGGGTGGTGGGTCTTCCTCCCGGGCAGTGGGTGTGTAGTTTGGGTGGGCCTTTCCCATCCCTGCTCCTGCTCCCCCTGTTCGGGGCTCCCCGTAGCCTCCCTGGATTGCGCGGGACCCATGGTCCACTCTCGCCTCCCCCAGGAGCGTCCTGTTCAACCCCGACGGCTGCTGCCTGTACAGCGGCTGCCAGGACTCGCTGCGCGTCTACGGCTGGGAGCCTGAGCGCTGCTTTGATGTGGTCCTGGTCAGCTGGGGCAAGGTGGCCGACCTGGCTGTCTGCAACGACCAGCTGGTGAGAGCGCTACTGCCTGTCCCTCCCCCTCCAGCCCCTATGTCCCCCAAGCCCTGCTGGGGTCCTGCCTGGGTGTGCCCCAGCTCTGCCGCTTCCTGCAGATAGGTGTGGCCTTCTCCCAGAGCAACGTTTCCTCTTATGTGGTGGACTTGACGCGGGTCACCAGGACAGGCACGGTGGCCCAGGACCCCGTGCAGGACAGCCGGCCCCTGGCGCAACAGCCAGCCCACCCCAGTGCCCCTCTTCGGCGCATCTATGAGCGGCCTGGCACAGCCTGCAGCAAGCCTCAGAGGTGGGGTGCTCAGGGCCCCAGAGGGCTCCGGAGGCGGGCCGGCACTGGGAAGGCTGTGGGGGGCCCAGCCCAGCTCACCGTGCCGGCCTCCTGTGGGCCTGTCCCTGCCCCACAGGGTGAAGCAGAACTCGGAGAGTGAGCGCCGCAGCCCCAGCAGCGAGGATGACCGGGACGAGCGGGAGTCTCGGGCCGAAATCCAGAACGCCGAGGAGTACAACGAGATCTTCCAGCCCAAGAACAGCATCAGTGAGGCTCGCCCCCGCCCCCGGCCCAGCCCGGCATCCCCATCTGTGCATGGAGGCAGACGGTGCTTCGCGGGGACAATGTCAATGGCGCTCTGCTTCCTTGGCTGGAGTTCCGGCTCACCTCTTGGCCCCCAGGCTCTGTTCCCAGGTCCTCGAGGCCTGGCAGTTGCTCAGTGCTGTAGCACACCCTGAGTGAGAAGGCCCCACATGGACAAGTAGATGGGAGGGGACAGGCCTGAGGGTTTCCGGGAGCGGGAACAGGGTCATGGGTCTGCAGCTGTGTATGCACCTGGGACCACCTTACACCCATACCCACATACCCACCCCTGGTGTCCCATGTCAGCCTTGGCCAACGTGAGTCCCCAGTGCCCTTTGCCTCTGCAGGCCGGACACCACCCCGAAGAAGTGAGCCCTTCCCGGCACCCCCGGAGGATGGTGAGTAAGGGGGCAGAGCCTGGCGTCCCAGGGTCACCAGCTCCCCAGGCCTCCCTGCCTTGGCACCATCTCCAGCCTCTCTCCCACCAGATCTTTTCCCTGTGCTCACCCAAAAGCACCTACTATGCAACCGGGACCCACACTAGGCCCTGGTGATGGAGCCTGAGCAAGGCAGGCAGGTGCCTCCCTCAGGAGCTCTCACCCTAGTGAGCAGGGAGATGGCAGACAGCCACGCAGCTTTGTCTGTGGAAGGGACAGTGTGGCGGAGGCAGGGGCGGGCAGGGTGAGAGGGGGCCATGGAGGTCCTGCAGGAGATGGGGGGGGCAGGGAAGGGCTGCTGGTGGAAAGGGGTGAGAGGATGGCAGGCCCTGGGGTCTGGGAGCAGGAGGCCAGGCCCTGGCTAGGGTTTGGGTTTTGCTACTGGGAAAAAACATGATCTGCTTTATGACCGAAGAAGTCAGGGTGGGGGGGCACCCTTGTCCTGTAGACTGTCCCTCCCTTCCACCCGGCTTTCTCTTCAAGGAGCCATCTTATCATTCTCCCTCCAGGTGGGGTTTCCTGTGCATCCCTCTCACCATCCACTCACTGCAGCACCCCGCCCACCCCCCATAGCCAGCACACACTCCATTCTCATTGAGGTGACAGGGCGGCCCCTCCCTGGAGCTCCCCGGGTCCCATCCACACACCGTGCTCTGACACCTTTCTGCCTGGTGATTGGGTGGAAAATGGGAGGCCAGGTCCAGCCTCCACGCTCATGCCTCCCCAGGAGTCCCCCCGCCCCCCCCATACACAACTGTTGCTGTCTCCTTCCTCGGTTATCCCACTGACTCTGCTCCATCCCTCCCAGTGATGCGGGTGCTCCCCAGAGGCCCACCACAAGCCCTGCCTTCTTCCCGCTAGTCCCTTTTGGCCTGGCCTAACCCAGAGATCTTTCCCTTTTGCCTCCAGACATGGTCTCAGCCAAGGAGGTGGCCAAGCCCAGCCCGGCCACGGACTCGCAGTTCCCGGTGCCAAATGTACGTCTGGGTGGAGAGGGCATGGTGCGGGGCTGGGAGTGGGGCCACAGTCCTGAACCCAGGTTGGGGCCCTCCATGCCAGGGTGGGCAGAGGGGGCGGCCTCGGGCTGGCTCCCCACTGAGCTCCGGACCCCACCAGCTCGAGGTCCCGCCCCGGCCCCCGGGCGTCACTCCCACGCCTGCGCCCAAGGCTGAGCCGGCCATCATCCCTGCCGCCCGGAATGAGCCCATTGGGCTGAAGGCCTCCGACTTCCTGCCTGTGAGTGGGGGTCCAGCCTGAGGGCAGAGTGGAAGCCCCGGGGGCAAGGGTGGAACTTGACCACCAGCACCTGTCCTGCACAGGCCGTGAAGATCCCCCAGCAGGCCGAGCTGGTCGACGAGGACGCCATGTCGCAGATCCGCAAAGGCCATGACACTATGTGCGTGGTGCTCACCAGCCGCCATAAGAACCTGGACACCGTGCGGGCCGTGTGGACCACAGGCGATATCAAGGCGAGCCCTTCTCCCCCAGGGTTTGCGGTGACCCCAGGAGAAAGCTGGCCAGGGCAGGCCATGGGGCTGGGTGGCCTCTGTCCCTACACGGTGGCTTTCGCGTCTGTCATCGTCGTCGTCGTGAGCTGCCAGTTATTGAGCGTCTCTTGACGCACCTGGTCTCACACTCATCAGCTGAGCTGCAGGCTTATTAGCAGCCCCCAACAAAGCCCCTCAGGCTGCGCCCAGGCAGGGCCCGCGCCCTCCCCGTCCCCTCTGACAGGCACTGTCTGTCTGCACAGACATCAGTGGACTCGGCTGTGGCCATGAATGACCTGTCAGTGGTAGTGGACCTCCTGAACATTGTCAACCAGAAAGCGTGAGTAGTCATTGTGGGGCGGGGCTGGCCCAGGAGCTGGAGCCTGCTGCTCATGGTCCGTCCCTGGCCCTCTCCCCAGCTCCCTGTGGAAGCTGGACCTGTGCACCACAGTCTTGCCCCAGATCGAGAAGCTTCTGCAAAGCAAGTATGAGAGGTACGTGTGGGGAAACCATACCAGCCTCTCATGATGGGGAGGGGCGGAAGGCTCCTCAGGGACAACGGGAAGGACCCCCAGGGTCCACGCCCCCATGAGGGTGTGGCACCGCAGTCCCCACCAAGTCGGAGAGGCCATGGTGAAAATGAGCCCATGTTGCCCCTGGCCCTCTGCCTACTCCTCTGTTTTTGTACCTTCTCTCTTTTTTCCTTCTGTGGCTCCATCCCTCCACCTGTGAAGCTACGTGCAGACCGGCTGCACGTCCCTGAAACTGATCCTGCAGCGGTTTCTGCCCCTGATCACGGACATCCTGGCAGCGCCCCCCTCTGTGGGTGTGGACATCAGCCGGGAGGAGAGGTGAGGGGCCAAGCAGTGTGCCATTGTCGGGGTACAGAGGCCTGGGGGCCCAGCCTGCTTGTTGATGGCCCCAGCCCTGAGTGGAAGTCATGCCTGCGCCAGTAGCTTGGAACATGGGATGGGGGGTCCAGAGCTGGGGCTCTTCTGTGGCCAGGTGGGTCCTACATCCAGGCCCTTGGCCTGCCTCCCAGAGGAGGGTGGGAGTGGTGTAGCAGGCAAGGCCCTAGCACTTGGCGCTCGACCTCTCTGCCCACAGGCTCCACAAGTGTCGGCTGTGCTACAAGCAGTTGAAGAGCATCAGTGGCCTCGTCAAGAGCAAGTCGGGTTTGAGTGGCCGCCACGGCAGTGCCTTCCGGGAGCTGCACTTACTTATGGCCAGTTTGGACTGAGGAGCTTTTGGGCCTGGCCTCAGCCCCTGTTCCCGTTCCCTGTGCACTCCCGGGCCCGTGAGCCTCTGCCCGGCCCCCTCTGCAGCCCTGTGGCCATCCTGGAGGTGGTGGCTCCAGCCCACTGGCCACCTGCACAGCCCTGAGCTCTCAGACAACTTCTCCCTGGCAGTGGCTGCCCTGCTTGGCCAACTCCTGCTTCTGGGGCAGCAAAGAGCACCCTGGGGCTGCTGCTGTAATTTATAAGGCGAATTTTATTAAATTTGTAACTATTCCCTGGTTTCTTTGCCTGGAGGTGCATTCTCCGGCCATGCGGCTCTGCCTAGCCCAAGACTGCCCACCAGGGCCCTTCAGAGACTGAGGACTCCCCTCCAGGCCTGAGGCAGTGTGGCCAGCAGGCGGCAGCAGAGTGCCAGGCCTGCTGGAAGGGGCAAGTTCAGTGTACCAGGGGAGGGGGGGGGCAGGGGAGGAGTGGGGGAGGAGGCGACTCCTTTCATAGCTAAGGGAGACAGGTGAGGAGTGGGCCCTGCCAGCCTATCCCCTCTGTCTCAGCCACGCTCTCAGCTGTCCTGGGGGTGCCAGGACCCACAGCCCACCACCAGGAGGCCTTGAGGGACTAGGCTGGAAGGGCTGTGGCCCTCTCCTCCAGCAAGGGCTCTGACCATCTTTCCCTCCCCACAGGATTGCGCAGTGCTGATCCCTTCCGTTCCTGTGGCAGCAGCTGCTAGATTTGCCGCAGTTGGAGAGAGGGCCCCACTGAGCCCCTGTGCACATTCCCTGCCAAGGCCACGACCAGGTGCAAGCCAGCACAATCCTCATGGCGGTCCAGGTGGGGGTGAGGCACTGAGGTTGCAGTTGGGGGTTTGTAGCACCGGAGAGAGGGTGGTACTCACCTATAGCCAGTTCACCTAAGGGGCAAGGCCAGGGCCTAGGGCAGGCAGGGAAGCTGGGCCAGCCCCGCCCTCCTGGCTTTGGCTCTCAGGCCAGAGTTTCCCAGCTTCTAGGAGAGAACGTTGCAGGGTGGGTGAGTCTGATAAGGGTGGCCAGGGATGTGGGGGATCAGCCAGCAGAGGGGGAGCCAAAGGCAAGGGCTCATGAGACCAACTCCGGCAGACTAAACTTGTGCAAAAAGGTTTTTATTTTAATAAGTAAAAATGGCTAAGCTTCCAAAAGTTCTTAAATAGAATTTCAGAGGGAAGAAAATGTCAGGAGGCCAGTGAGCAAGGAGAGCGCCTGATACCAGGCAGATGAGAGGAGCAGAAAGACCCCTTGCCTCTGGCCTCCCGCCAGCCATAAATACAGCCCAGCCCTCAGCAGGGAGGGCCACGCTCCTATGTACACCTAGGAACACTATATACAATCCAGCACAGGGGCCCACCTTGGAGGGGAGTGGGGCCAGGGCTGCCCCTGGGTGCCCACCAACTGCCCAGATCCCATGGGTCCTTTGCTTTCCAGGGGCTCCTCCACCCACCCCTTACAGCAGGGCCTGGCAGGCGCAGGACAGCCCAACCAGGCCAGGCAAGAGGCCCACCCTCCCACCTACTCCTGCCCGCCTGACAAGAGCTCCCTGAGGGCCCGGGCCTGCCAGGTGGAGTGGGCCATCCCTGCCCTTCCAGCCCATGCCTTTTGCACCCACAGCCACGTGCTAAGAGACACCATTTCCTTCTGAACATGTTTTCTCATCTCTGAGTGCATCTCTGATGCGAGACAGAAGGGCTACCTCCACTCCGGCCTCCACCCCGGGCTCCCGGTGCTACAGCGGGAGCAGGCCGGCCAGGCCGCAGGCCCCAGTCCCCGGGCTGGCAGGGGGATCACGTCCATCACACAGGCACCGGCCTGGACTTCCCTGCAGAATGGGGGGAGAGGGTCGTTAGCCTGGGCATATGCAGACACAAGGGAGCCAGGCAGAAGCACACAGCAGCCAGCAGCAGGACGGGCCCAGCCCTGAGCAGCCCTCTCCCCGGCACAGCCCTGCACCCCAAGGTGGGCAGGCCCGGGCTGCTGGCCCCACACTCACCTGGAGACTCTGCAGCCCCAGCCGTCAGGCTGAAATCAAAGCAACAGGTGTCTCACTGGTGGGCTTGCCTGGGGCCGGGACTCCCCAGGACCCTGAGGCTCCTGCCTCCTTAGACCCAGGCCTTGCCAGGTCCTTCTGTGAGAGGGGCCACACAGGGGGCTGGGACTCTGAATTCCAGGCCTGGGGTGGGCTCACTCCTTACCTGAGACCTGGGTGGGCCCTGCCACCACCCCCCCTCCAGGAGCCAGGCCCAGGGCAGGGGTGCCCGGCCTGCCCTGAAAGGCTGCTTGAGCACAGCCTCAGAACTCTGTTCTGGGCTTTGAGCCAGCAGCCCTGCTTGGAGCCCCAAGGGCTGGGTTTCTCCTTACATGCCCCCCCCCCACCAAGGGACCTTTCATGTTCTATCTGTAAAATGGGCCTAATACTTCCTGCCCTGACTCCTTCCCAAGGCTAGAAAAGGTTGTAAAACAGGTTCTGCATGAGTTTTAGAAACTTGAAAACAAAAAGTCCATTCAGGCGAGGGCAGTCCAGTGCTACCTGGAGGGAGGCTCACCTCTCCCCACCCCACCACACACACTTGCCCACTCCCCGAATGCTCACCCAAGGGCTGCAGCTTCCTCCGGATCGAGCCCGGGCGGCTGGTGGTCCCAGAACCGGGGGCGGAGTGCGCTCGTGCTGAGGGCTGTGGGGTCTGGCAAGCCGGTTCCCACTGTGGGTGGCAGGGGTGAGCAGGTGGGCGGAGGCCACGCTGCCCTGGCTCCATACCTCCACCGTGGTGCCCCCCCCCATTCCCCTCCCAGCCTCCTGAAACTGTATGTTCCTCTGCAAAAATGGGCACGATGAGGAGAGCCCCAGGATGACCTGAGACCGTGTTTGTAAGGAAGGGGGTGAGTTACTCCCACCCACCCCGCGGCCAGCGGAGGACGGCCACAGCTAGTTCTGCGGCCCAGAAGAGTTAGACTAAAAAGCCTCCTGGCACGTGGGCGGCTCAGTTGGTTAAGTGTCTGCCTTCAGCTCAGGTCACAGTCTCAGGGTCCTGGGATCAAGCCCAGAGTCAGGCTCCCTGCTCAGCGAGGAGTTGCTTCTCCCTCTCCTTTTCCCCCCTTTCCCAAGCTCGCTCTTGCTTTTGCTCTCTCAAATAAAATCTTTAAAATAAATAGAGGCTCCTGGGTTCAGGTGCTGGATCCACAGCCCCCCACTTCTGGCATCTTCCTCTCGGCTGTCCCCGATCCCAGACCCTCCTTCCTGCCCCTGACCTGGACTTGACAGCCCAAGAGGCGTCTGTGGCGGTCACCATACCTCCAGATGCTCCTGGCTGGACCAGGACCCGAGCTCTGCCCTGCGGGACCCAGGGCCCAACTCCACAGAGCGCACCCTCTCAGCAAACTTGAGGGAGTACAGTGTCTCGCTGGTGTTCTTCTCCACGGGGGACACCTAGGGGACACGAGAGCTCATTCCCCACCCAGGCCAGTGGGCCTCCCCCTCAGAACTGAAAGGGGCAGTGTGTGCACAGACTTCAGAGCTACTGAGGACAAAGGTCCCTGCCCTGCCCTGCCTGGGGCACCTGGGCCGCAGGGGAATGGAGTCCCCAGTTGTGGTGCCGGCCAAGCCCCACACCCTGATGGCCCGCCCTCCCGGCCCACCTGAGAACCTTACCTGCACCACCATGAGCGTCTTGCTGTCCCCACTGAGTGAGTCCTGCAGCAGGTAGGTGAGCTTGGAGTTGCGGAAGGGCACGTGGCCCTGGCGAGAGCGCAGGGCAGCAATGACATCCCCCAGGGCGGACAGCGACTTGTTGATGTGCTGTGCCTCCCGCAGCCGGCTGCCCTCGGCCCCGGACTTGCCCACGCGCTCCGAGCCGGCCAGGTCCACCAGGTTCAGCTTCCCTGCAGAGAGGACCCCGGACAGGTCAAGGCCGCCCCGCGCAGAGCAGGTGTCAGGGGTCCTGTGACGCGGCCGCCCGCAGCCCACACTCACCCGTGGTGCGGAGGCCAGTGCTGCAGTCCACCCCGCGCACCGTCACGATGAGCAGGGCGTGCGAGCGGGAGCTGTGCTCGTTCAGGTTGGTGAACTCCGTCGTGCGGTTTGTGTGGCCAAACTCAAACACCTGGCAGGGAGCAGGGCGGGCTCTGGAATCACCTCATCCCCGAGGACCCCTGGGAGGGGGTGTCCCCAGCCCTGGGGGCTGGGCAGAGACTGCATCGAATCCCACATGTCCTGCTCCAACTCGGCTCAGCCTGTGGGCAGGGGGCTCCCCAGCACTTCCCCGCCCCGCAGGCCTCCCCAAACTTGTACCTTGTTGATGTCGTCCACGCTCTGCACCTGGAACTCCGTCAGCCCTGGCACGTACAGCTGCCCACTGCCGTCTGGGCACAGCCGGATCTCGAGTTTCTCCTGAGGCTCCTGCCCCAGCAGGTCCCTGCAGGGACAGTCTAGACGGTCACTCCCTCCTCCCACATCTGCCTCAGCTTGAACCACACCCTGCTCTCCACCCCCCACATCTGGAATGTTCTCCCACTGCATCGCACCATCAGAAGCCTTCTTTAACTATTGGGCCATGCCCCGATCTCCTCTAGCTCCTTCCCTGCATGCAGTCCGCTGAGGGGCAGAGACAATGTTCCCCAAAAGTCTTGTGGTAGTGCTACTCCCGCCGACAATGAACTGAGCTCTTGTGGGCAGGGCCCCCCAAATCCCTACTCTCATTTCTCACCACCTGGTGTAGCCTACAGAGAGAACAGGTGGACTTGGAGAGAAAGGAGCATCCAGTCTGGTCTGGGTGCCCCAGGTAGACTCGGAGTGAGCCCTCCTCCCTGCTGCCTGCCCTGCTGGGACCACTGTACCCCTGGGCTGAAGCAGGACATGGGGCCCCAACTCCAATCTTCATCCTGCATGGCCCCCCATGGCCCCGAGGACCACAGAGCCACCCTGGAGGCCCACGCCCCATGCAGGGCCTCCCACCTGAGGACCTCGTTGTAGATCTCGGCCGCGCTGACCGTAATGGTGTACTCCCAGTCGGAAGCCTTCTCCTGCACCTCAGAGAAGAGCAGCTGCAGGGCCCGCTGGTTGATGCCTGGGTTCTCACGGGTCCCCTGGAGGCAGAAGCAAGGCCCCCGTGATCCAGGCCTCTCCTGGCCACAAGGGGTGGGCCGTGCAGATGCTCGTGTGGGGTCTGTGGCCCACTCCCCCTTGGGTGACCACAGGCCAGCCGCCCAGCCCAAAGCTTCCACCTACCCACTGGTCTGCCTCCCAAACACCCTCCCCTAGCTGTAAGCAACGTCACCCTCTTGGCCCTCAGTTTCCCCCCACCTTCCCATAGTACTGCCCTGCCAGGACTAGCCTGAGACTTAGAGCAGAGGACTGGGTGAAGCACTGGCTGGCACACGAGGGCTGCTGAGCGCCAGGTGCATACCTGCTCCTGGGGGGATGGGCCCTGGGAGGGGGCACTGGGAACCTGTGATGTCCCTGCCACCACCCAGAGGGGGGCTCATGTCAGGGAGGCCATGGGCTGGGCTCTGTGGGTGGTGGAAGAGAGGCACAGGCAGAGCCACAAGTGCCTTGGGGCTGGATGGGCTGGCTAGCCCTTCTAGAAGGAAATCTGGAGTTCTCACCTGAGCTGTTGCCTCCCCTTATGTCGTACCTCCCACCCCCTTCCACTTCTGTGGCTTGGCCTCCTTGCCAGGCCTCAGTACCCCCAGCATGTTCCGGCCTTGTGGCCTCAACCCTGCTGATCCCCATGCCTGGAATGCTCTTCCCCACACACCCCCATGGGGGCCTCCAATGTACCCTCCGCAGGCAGATGGCTTCATCTTCCCTCCAAAGGCCTGAGCCCTCCCTCACTTGCTGATTCCTCATACCAGGCTTTAGATTTCCTCTCCAGCCCCTGACAGGACACAGCCTGATTTGCTGTGGGCACTGCTGTCCCCCCCAACTGGCGGGCTGGCTCTGGGGAGCAGATACTCTGTGGTCACAGCTGTGCCCGGCCCCCAGAGCAGCGCCCAATGTACATGGGTCTTGAGATGTGTTGCTGGAAGACAGATGCTCCTGGGGGGGTCACCCCAACTCTGAGTACCCAAGACAGAGTTAGTCCATGCAGACCCCCTTCCCCCACCCACCACCTTGCTTGGCCTGCACCGCACTACCCAGTCTCATCAGTCCCAGAACTAGGGCAAAAGCAGGGACCAGACTGGGAAGAAAGCCCACATGGCAGCCTCCCCGAAAGGAGGCTGTCCAGACACTGGGACACCTGTCCTCACTCCTTTCCAGAGAACCCCACAGCGCCCCCCCAAGAGCCGGGGAAATGCTAACAAACCAAAGACATCCCCAGGAACCACCTTCCACTTTTACCTAGAGTTGAGATCTTTCCTCCTCTCAATGCTTCCCTCTCCTGCCACTCAGCCTAGGGGGGTTGGCTGCGGGGAGCTGAGGTCCCACCCCGACCGAGGGAGCAGAGACTGCCCTCATTCATCCTAACAGTCCCAGGCCCAGCGCTGCATGGCTGCCCTCTCAGTGCATGGCGGTGAAATGAAAGCCCAACCCCAGAGACACACAGGAGGTCTGGCCTCGAGTCTAATGTCAGATGGAGGGCTCCCTGATGCCAGTTTGCTGACAGAGCGCCAGTCCCGCCCCATACCCACCAGGACCGTCTCAGGTCCTCCTGGGCAAGATGCCCTCTCTCCAGGCCTGGTGCCTTGGGGCCTAACACAGACAACTAGCAGCTCTGCTCCTGGGCCGCTGGAAACCTGAAGGCACGAGGGCAGCAAGGGGGTGGTCCTCACTGGCCGAACTCCTGCCCCCAGCAGCAGGTACCCACCTCCATCGTGTACGTCTTGCCAGCACCCGTCTGGCCATAAGCGAAGATGCAGACATTGAAGCCATCGATGCAGGAGGTGATCAGGGCTTGCACCTCCTGGAACACCTGGGGAGGGGACGTGGGATGAGATGGCGAGCCCCACCCTCCAAGAGCCCCCCGCCAGCTCTAAGTCTTGTCAGCTCCCCGGATGGCCCTCTCCCTCAGCAGGACCCTTACAACAGACCTCAGTGGGAAATCGGATTGTCAAGACTGAAGGGAAGACAGGGCAGTGCCTCCTGCCAGCCAGCGCCTGAGGAAGGGCTGCCCGGCCTCCAGCTTCTCTCACACTGAAGGAGAGCTCAGCAAGATGAAGGCGGAGGCAGGCATGTGCCTGGCACCTGATGCAGCCTGTCTGCCCACAGAGGACGGGGCAAAGGTGACGCCAAGCACAGGGACAGGAGGGTACAAGCAGGACAGGTCTGGCCGGTCAGCCCTGGCAGAGAGGAGAACGCTGCTGAGACCACGTGGCTCTTACGGGCTGAGGGCTCCACGGGGCAGCTGCGGAGTCCTAGGATTACCTGTGGGACGGATCCCGGTGCTCCGGGCTGTAAAAGCAACGACCGCCAGGGTCAGGTGGGTGGGCGGGGCTGTGAGTGTAGGAGGGGCTGCGTAGGTGGGCATGGGCACGTGGGTGGGAGGAGCCTCTGAGTGGGCGGGGCTGTACGGGTGGGATGAATCCTGGAGGTGCCATAGGCTGTCCTTGAATCTCCTTTCAGCAGAGGCCTCTCAGCCTTATCTTCCCACTGTCTTCTCACCTCCAGTGGAAGAAGCAAGGCATCCCAGCACCCCTAGCTTCTCCATCCTGTCTCTCCCACTCTTAGATTTCTTTCTGTATATGCCCCCTTCATCTCTCCCTGTGTGCCCCCACCCCACCCGGCAACCCCGCACTGCTCTCTGTCCGCTTCCCCACAGGGCCACACTCACGTCCTGCTGTGATGCCCGCGGGGAGAAGACCTTGTCCAGCTCGAAGGATACAGGCTTTCCTTTGTGCAGCAGGTGGATGATGGAGTCGTCGTCAGCATCGAAGGTCACAGCATTGGTCGCATCAGGTCCTTCCCCATCCTCTTTGGTGACTGGCCGGACACGAGCAATCACCCGGATGTTCCCTGGATTGTGTGGGGGAGGAGAGAAAGGTACATACAGTCAAGACCAGGCTGCCTCCCCACTGGGATCCTTTGGTGTCCTAGCCTTCTGAGCAAGGCCACCCGCAATGCTCTATTGTCAGTCACTCGCACCACCATGAATTCATGCATCAGGACACTTTTTTCCTGGGCAAACCGGCTGAGAGTGGGAGCCTCACGTTGGGGACAGGGAGGAAAGGTTAATTGTGGGGCTCAGGCACTGCACCCAGTCTGGGTGGGATACCAAATGGACACTATCTCTGAACTTCAGTTTTCTTTATTCCATGAGGGGTATGGGTCCCAGTAAGCCAAGGGACTTGTTCTGTCATTCTAAAAGGACTTTGTGGATGCCCGAACAGGGCTTGGGAACCAGATGGGCAAAGAGAACCAGACAGCAGGTGGACAAGCAGCACATGGAAAGAGGACAGGCAACAAGGCAGCTCGGGGGGGTCCTGGGGGCACAGACTGTGCCATCCTCTTGCTTCAAGCCCTTCCGCCAGATCTCAGTGCTCCCGGAAAGAAGAACAAACTCTCCACGACAGCCAGCACGTCCCCACCTTCCCCTTCACCTGTACACTCCAACCCATTATCCAGGCCTCAGCCATGGCTTTGCCTCCTTCAGGAAGCCCTGCAACACCCCCGACTGTCAGACACAGAGGGGCTCTTAGAGCCCCTCCCCCGCCCCAGTAACAGGGGCAGTGTCGGGGTTCTCTGGGTGCTTACAGATCAGCGTCTGCTCCCCCAGCCGCAGTGAGCCCTGTGAGGGCAGCAACAGCATCTGGGGGCCCACGGCCACGTCTCAGTGTCTGGAACAGCACCCCCTCACCCCCGGCCCTTTGTGCTGTGAACAAGCATTCTCAGGCTCCTCCTGGCCCTGGGTCAGAGCAAGCTGCCTTCCAGCCACCCACCACCCAGGGCTTCTGCACCCCTCCCCCCGCTGTTCCCCCCTCCCTGCCTCAGGGCCTGGGGGCGCCTGCCACAGGCACTGGGGGGAAGGGTTTCAGAGCTGGACGGATCCAAGTCCAGATCCAAGGTGGGCCACTCAGTAGCCATGCGGGTCTGAGCCAGTTCGCTGACCTCTCTGGGCCCGGGTTCCCTCATCTACAGAAAGTGGGAGGTACAGGAGCCCCTAGTGACAGGGCACAGGCTCCAGGGAGTGAGCCTGGGCCTGGGCGGAGGGGTAGGGGGGCAGGCCAGCATCAGCTCCAAGCCAGGTGGGACCCCTGTGCGGGGCGCCCCAGCCTCCTCCCCTGCCCCCCCCCCCCCCCCCCTACCCCACCCCAGCAGTCACCTTTCAGCCGCACCAGCTCGTTGTGGCATTTCTTCCGCAGCTGCAGCTCCCGCCGGTACTTGCGCAGGAGCTCCTGGTTGTTGCTGTTGACCTCCTCGATGGCCTGGCCGATCTGGGGAGAGGGGGCACGCACAGCGCTCTAGGGGGCTGGATCCACCAAACCGGCCTGTTCCCTGGCCTGTTCCCCCTCCTGCCCCGAGCTGAGTGCTTGAGGTGCGCTGTCACCTGTCAACTCCTTCCAACAGCCTCTGCTCAGAGGTGCAGCTGCCCCCACTGTTTTAGAGAGAAACAAACTGAGCCTCAAAGAGACTACGCCGAGGAAGGTCACCCTGCTAACAAAGCAAACAGCCAGGACTCCGCCCTCACTCCCCACCACCAGTGCCTGGCTGTAATAATACGACCCAACTGGAGCCAGATTCCAGCTCTACCCCTGAGCAGCTGGGGGACCTAAGACAACCAGCTGGGTCATCACGTCTCATTTTTCTCATCTGTAAAATGGAAATAACACCATCTAATCTGTGGATCTGTAGCACCTGGGTGGTAACGATCTGCAAGTCACACTTCATAGGGGAAAAGAAGCAAAATGCAGACCACACATGCAATGTTCCCTTCTGTTGGGCAGAAAGGAGTGTGTCCACAGGGTTTCGGGGCTCAGATCCTGACGGGCATCTGCCTCTGGGGAGTGCAGGCCAGGGCGGCAGAGAGGGGCCCTTCCTCTTCATCTAATGACCTTCTGCACGGTTTGAACTTTCTACCATGTCCATATGTTATTGACATAATTTTTCTACAGAAAAAGAACTATTTTCTATTCCCAAAATATATCAGTCTCTCTACCCTGCGGGGCCATGGTACAGATTCAAGGAGCTGACGGCTATGAAAGGCTTGGCACGTAGGAGGCACTCAAAGACGTTGGCTATTCTCATGCTGTATGAGAACAGCTTAAGAAAATTAAAACAAACTGACATAAGAATATACGTAGCATGCCTGAGATACAAGGATATATGCTGCATGCTTGGTTTAAAGATTCCTAAGAAGCACGGGCACCTGTGTGGCTCAGTTGGTTAAGCGTCTGACTCTTGATTTTGGCTCAGGTCATGATCTCAGGGTCGTGAGATCGAGCCCCATGTTGGGCTTTGCTCTGGGTATGGAGCCTGCTTAAGATTCTCCCTCTGCCCCTCCTCTCCCCCACTCTAAAAAATAAAAAATAAATAAAGAGTCATAAGACAAATACCAAAATACGTGCCCCTGACCAGTCTGTCAGTTGGTCCCCGTGAGGGGGAGGACAGCTGTTGCCTAGGGGGGCTTTGCTGCATTTTGGAATGGAGGACTGGGCTCGGGGCCTCTCCGAGCCTCCTCCCCACTCCCTCAGGCACACACTGCACTCACCTCAGCCTTGACGCTCTTGAGGGCCTCCTGCAGAAGCAGGGGGAAGCCCCGCACCTGCCGCTTGAGCCCATTGTAGTCGCTGGTGAGGGTCCTCAGTGCTGGCTGCAGCGTCAGCAGGTTGGTCCGGACACCTTGGGGGACATGAGAGGTGCAAGGTGGGCAGGCTGAGGGGCTGCGGGAAGGGGGGCGGGGCAGGGCCCGGCCGGCTGGCTCACCTGCCAGGTTCTCGTGCACAGCCTTCATCTCCACCTGGGCTCTGGCAAAGGCCTCCTCGATGGCCCGGTTCTTGTCTTCCTCCAGGGACTGCATCTCCTCCAGCATCTGCCCATGTGCCCGCTCCAGCTCAGACTCATACATGGCGATCTGATGGCCCAGGCCAGAAGCTCAGTGTGGGGCTCGGGAGGGAGAGGGATGGGTGCCCAAAAGAAGCCCCACGCCTTACCCCACATGCACGTGGGCGTACAGTGCCCCCCACACGTCCGCACACACACACAGGAGAGGGGCAGATGGCCATCTCGCTCTCTGAAAGACTCCATGCAGCTTTTTCCTTCATTAGCCCTAACACCTGGGTCCTGGCACCTAACAGGTGCACCTAACAGGTGCACAAGTCACAAGCCCCAGGAGAGCGGGCGGAGCATATGTTATAATGGTGACCAGGCCTCCCTTTCCCAGAATGTGTGTGTGGCGAAGTGGGGTGGTGGGCAGCTGTGCAAGGACACTCTTGGGATTATGTCCCTGAGCGCCCCCTGGAGGTGGGTTCCATGAGGGCATCATTCTACAGATAAGGAAACTGAGACACAGACAAAACTTGGCCTTGGTCACACAGGCAGCCGGCAGAGGAGGAACCGGAACCCAGGTCTGTGGGCTTCCCGAGGGCTGACCCACTGCACTATACTGACGGCTCACCTCTGGCTTTCCAGCTGGGTGTGCCCCTGCTCTCCTCCAGCCCCAAGCACCCCCCAGCAGCCTGTGCACCTGCGCCCGGAGCTGCGCGGTCAGCTGGTGTGAGCTCTGCAGCTGCTGCTCCATCTCCTTCAACACCTGCCTCTGCATGGCCACCTGCTCCTGAAGGTGCTGGTTCCGGGCCTGGGACTCGCTGAGGGCCTGCTTGGTCTTGGATGACTCCACCTCTACAGTCCTGATGACGTACTGAGAGGGAAGGAAGGGACAGGCACGTGGAGGTGTGAGGGTCCCTTGGCCTCCCTTGGCGGGGGGGGGCCTGAGATGCAGCTGACTTTGAGAGGGGACCCTCAGGGACATCCCACCCAGAGCACCCAGGAAAAAAACTAGAGGAGCTTCAAGGTTCTGGCTTTCCAGGATGCTGCGGGGCCTCCGGGAATCCTCTCGCTTCGGGAAGCTCACCAAGAGCCTGGCTGTGGCCCCAGACTGGGTACGGAGCAGACAAGAAGGGCCCAGACAAGGGCAGAATCTTGCGATGCCCATACCCATGCCTGGCAGGTGCGGGCACGTCAAGCCTCAGGGGCCAGATGCCTACTACGTGCCCCGGACAGCAAGAAGGGGGAGGAGAGGGAGCAAGACAGAGCACAGATCTGGACTGATTCCTCCAATCACTCACCCCTACTCATTCACCAAGACAAGGTGCAGCCCTGCCCTTGGCACTAGGGGCCAAGAGAGCAAGGGCCCCATATGTGGCCCCAGCCAGAGACTCACCTTGATGGGCGGCGACTGGGCCCGCAGGCTGGCGATGGTCTCGTGGCTGTCTCGCAGGCGCCGGCTCAGCCGCTCCTCCTCTTGCGCCTTCTCGGCCAGGCAGTCCTTGAGCCGCAGCTCCACCTCGGCCAGCCGGTCAGTCTTCTGCTGCACCTCCAGGTTCAGCTCGGACAGCATGCCCTTGTTCTCGGCCACCTCCAGCTGGAGTTGCGACAGCTTGTCCCGGAGCTGGGCGCTCTCCTGCAGGCAGGCGGTCGGGAACGGGGCCCGGGACAGTGTGCAGCAGACAGAGGGAAGGGCAGACAAGCAGGCAGGGGTCACAGTGAGGAACCGGGTTCGCCGCTAGGGACCCAGCCTGGCAGGAGCAGCTGGGGCCAGGCCAGCCCGCTCACCTGGCTGTGCTCGCAGCCCGAGCAGGGGGCTGCCGGCTTGGCCCGCAGCTCCTGCAGCTCGGCCTCGAAGCGCCGCATCTCCTGCCTCAGCCGCTCATTCTCCGCCACCAGCAGGTCGCGGTGCTTCTCCAAGTCCGTGCCCCCCTGCAGAGAGCCAGAGCACAGGGGGCGCATGGGGCCTGGGAGGACCCTGGCAGCAGAGAGCAGGGAGATGGGGCAGGGGGCAAGGGCAGGGGAGAGAATAGGAGAGGAAGAAAAAGAAAGGCGGGCAAGGGAGGGAAGAGAGCAGGAGCTCAAGAGGGACATAAGGCGAAGACAGAGGAGAGAAGGGGAGCCAGAGGGATGGCCTTCACCTGCCCCTCTCATTCTATTTTCCTGAGTGTGAAAGTAACAAGAGAGTCGTATTTATACACAGACTTCACACTCCTCTTTTACATCAGCAGACGAGAAGTAACCTCCCTCCCTTTGGCGGTCACACGGCCTCCGAGGGCCTAGCGAATGGTGACAAGTATTCGGGGCCGACTGGCAGTCTGCTGGCCCCCACCCGGGCTGGACATGAGGGCTGTGCAGAGATGGGGTCCCGCACCCCATCCGGAAGGGTCAGACTGCACAAGGCCGGGTCAGCTCTCCAACAGCCCCCACCTCAGGATGGTGGTATGGAGCCTCACCAGCTCTGATCGGAGGCGGCTCACTTCCTGGGCCTGGCTGATGAGCTTCTCCTTCAGGTTTTCCACCTGCCGGCACAAAGCCACGGTCATGGTGAGCCTTGTTCCTCACCTCCAGCCACACTCAGGCCTGATCTCTCAGCCCCCAACCCCCATCGGCCCTCCCTGTGTTCAAGCATCAGGGCATGCCTGGGACTCCAGGTGAGAGACACCTGCCCTGTCCCAACAGCCTTCAGCACCCTCACCCGACGCAAGACCCAGGGAGCCCAGGCTCTCAGAAAAGTCTGGGGAGCAAGCAGAGCAGGGGTGACCCCTGCACCACTCAGAGCCCACGCCAGACTCGGGCTGACCCTCAGGACCCCTGCCTTACACTGGCCTTTGTCGTGGCCTCTGTCTACTCAGGTATTTGTAACTTGGTAACTTTATATTCTTTTTTCTTAAAAGAGCTCCCAAATTGTATAAACTCCAGACACTATAGAACCTAGATCGGTCTTTGCCCAGAACCTAGATTCTTCCATTCAGGGGGTTCCTGGCAAGTCAGCCTGTGGATATAGGTCTAGCAGGGACCAGGGCACATCTCAGACCTCTGTCCCCCCCAGCTCCCAGTCTGCCTTGCTGGAGAGCTGGGGCCAGCAGAGAAGGGGGTGCACACCCTGTCACCCTCTGCTGACTGCCCTCCCTGCAGCCCCCCTCCAGGAACCTCTCAGGAAGTAACCCAAAAACACAGCTGAAGACTTTGGTACCAGTGTTTCTCAGGGCATGTCTGGACATCTTCTTCCAGAACATTCTGTGATGACTGTATCTGACCGCAGCTCACCTTGAAAAGGCCCAGGGAGTCAGACTCACTCTGTGGGGGACTAGGAGGTGGGTTTTACCCCAGAGGGCCACGACGCTCTGGGTTCTTATTACTAAGCAACAGCTGAGGAAGTCCGCTGCCTGCAGGCGCCGGGCCAGCCAGGTACAGCGGGTGAGGGTGTATCACAGCTCCCCATTTTACATGGCTGAGATGTCATCCGTGGTTTGTGGCAGCACAGGGGGCACACAGGTAGGTGCTCAGTCTCCCAGAGTGGGACACGGCAGCCTCTGCTCCCCCAAGCTGAGCTGGTGAGGGAGGAAATGGACGACAGCCCAAGCCTGCGCCGCTTCTCTGCCCCCTTCCTCTGAGAGCTGGCATGAGCGAAGGACCGCTGGCAGAAGGCCCCATTACCCCTTAGCCGCGAAGCCGGGGTAACCTCAATACCCAGCATCAGGGGGACGGTCAGGTAGGTCACGGCGGGTGCTCGCACGGGCTGTTGTGGTTATGGTTGTTTGTCGAAAGTTTTGACCTGGAGGAAGACCCCTCAACACACTAGGTCAAAAATCTAGAAACAAAACCGTGAATGCAACAGCCAAAAGTGATGGTCTCTGGACTGTAGAATTACACCCGACAAATTCTTTGTGCTTTCAGGCAATTTTTAAGTCTCAAATAACAGGAATTCCTCTCACACTCCCTCATCCTGAAATAGATGGGTCTATTTCCCTTTGAAAGATTGGGGTGCCCCTGTCCCCCATCATTCCCTGGGAAATCGCCCCAGGAAGACCCACTTGCACTAAGCAGGTGCCCTAGACAGGCCGCTTCCTCAGCACCGAGCAGGCATGCTCTGACCTCGCTCGTCCCTAACGCCACTGGCGCTCAGACCCGGATGCGGCAAAAGTGGGGTTCTCCAGGGCTTGCTTGGGGGGGGCAGGAGGCCCGCCTGCTGCCTGCCTGCAGCCCAGGCTCCTGCTCCCTTCTTGCATCACAATCAGAACTCTGGGTGCTCCAGGGCTCTCCCTGGAATCCCTGAGGTGTGCCCCAAAAGGAACTGTCTACAGAAGGCTGGGGTTGTGGGTGGGGGGTTGAGGAAGAGGCTGTCAAACACTCTTTTTGTCAGAGGTGTCAGTCATCTCCTGGCTCCTGACTCATCTCCGACAACGGGGTGGGGTGGGGTGGGGTTGGGGGCACAGGCCACCAACACTGTGGGTGGCCCGTCAGGCCCAAGCCACTCTGTGGTGCGTGGCTCAGGAGTGGGACGGCTGCCCTCCACCCAGAGGGCTCTGCTTCAGGAGTGGTGAGGGCATAGAGTGGGGCACTGGGGGTGAGCAAGGCCTTCCAGGGGAGAGAGCTCCTGTGAGCATCCCTTCACACACCTGCCCCAGCTGAGTTGGTCGTGGTGCCTGCATCTGGAGGAAAAGAGGGGAGGGACCTTCTCTGTTAGCCCTCAGAGGCCCCGCCCCCAGCAGGTGGCCGGCACACACTAGATACTCAGGAAACCCCCGAATAACAACAGAAGCGCAGCACGCACACTCCTGAGTGCAGAGAGCCAGGCCAAAGGAGAAGCAGGCTCCTGGCAGGCTGCCCACGTCAACCCCAGGGCGGAGGAAGGGACCAGGACTAGGTCTGTGCAACACCCCTGCCCAGGCTCAGGCTCCCCGGCAGCCAGAGAAACTGGGTCACGGGCCCGGTGCGGAGGGCCTCAGTGGGAGCGGGGCGCTGGGGCCTGTCTGCCACATTTCCGCGTCTCAGCAGAAGCAGGCTCCTAGGAGGGTGGGGCTGCCCCCGCCAAGGGCTGTGTTCGAGACTGTCTGCTCCCACCGGCGGAGACAACCTGCTGATTACCTCCCCACCTCCCGCCAAGGCCGCCTCACAGTCACCACAGCTATCTTCTGAGGAAAAGAGGGCTCTCTCAATGGCAAGATCAAGGCATGGCTGAGCTGAAAGGGCAAGAGGTCCTGGGATCCAGAACACCTCAAGGAAACAGAGGCCAGAGGGGCATCCCCGGGAAGCACTGCATCCTGTCCCCACATATATACCCTCACAGGACACCCGACTCCTGGCCACATGACTGCTCACTATGCCCGTCTGGCCCCATCTAGCCTGCCCTGCCCACCGCCAAGTGTTCACATCCGAGTCCTTCTGCCAGTGAGGGGCAGCTGAGCTCCTGGGTTCTCAGGGCAGACTGCCCAGCTTTCTAAAATAGACATCACCCTACCCCCTGAGTAACCTTGGAAAAGTCTCAACTAGGCCTCATGGGCCTAATGAGGCCACCCCTGGGAGGATGTCTGGAGGATTAAGTGACATTAAATGAGATAATACATGTAAAGCACTTAATGAGTTCTATTGTTAGAATGAAGGCCCCTAAAGGCAGAGATATTGGTCTCCTGTGTGGGTGCCACACTGCCCATGCCTAGGACAGCCCCTGGTACACGCAGGAGAAAGAATGCTGAGTACACGAGAGGCAGAGCAGAGTCTCTGAGTGAGGCTGTCAGGCAGGGTGTGGGGCAGGAGGGGTGCTGGAGATGGGGGCAGCGCTGGGCACCAGAGGAAGGACGCTGGCTTCTGCCAAAGGCAGGAGCTGCTACGAGGACCCAGGCAGTGGGTGCCGCACGGGAATGGCAGGCCAGAGAAGCCACGTCTTCCAATATTTTCTGACAAAATAGGAAGTCCAGATTTTTGTGGGAATTTAGCCAAGGCTTAAAGATTGACAACTAATCTGATTACAAAAAAGCAGGCCAATTAGAACTAATAAGCAAACTTAGCAGAGTCACAGGATACAAAATCAACATGTAAAAATCGGTGGTTCCTCAGGATGCCTGGGTGGCTCAGTCAGTTAAGGGGCCAACTCTTGGTTTCAGTTCAGTCATGATCTCAGGGTGGGGAGATCGAGCCCTGCTTGTCCCTCTCTCACCTCTGCTTCTCTCCCCACGCTCTCCCTCTCTCTCAAATAAATAAAAGCTTAAAAAAAAAAATCAGTTGTGCTTCTACACGCAATGAATAATCTAAAAAGGAAATTAAGGAAACAATTCCATTTACAATAGCATCAGGGAGAATAAAATAGGAATAAACTTAAAGAGGCAAAAGATCTGTACATTTAAAACTGTAAAATGTTGGAATCGATTAAAAATGACACCGATAAATGAAAAGACAGCTTGAGATGCCTGGGTGGCTCAGTCAAGTGTCTGCCGTGGGTTCAGGTCATGATCTCAGGCTCCTGGGATAGAGCCCCATGTCAGGCTCTGCTCAGCGGGGAGTCTGCTTCTTCCTCTCCCTCTGTCTCTCCCCGTGCTTGTACTCATTTGCTCTCTCAAATAAATAAAAACCTTAAAAAAAAAAGACACTCCATGTTCACAGACTGTCATATTGTTAGAATGTCAGTCTTACCCAAAGTGACACAATGCGATCCCCATCCAAATTTCAATGACATTTTTTGCAGAAATAGAAAATCCATTCTAAAATTCACATGAAATCTCAAAGGACCCCCAAGAGCCAAAACATACTTTCAAAAGAAGAGAAAGTTGGAGGTCTCACACTTCCTGATTTCAGAAGTTAATCACGAAGTTATAGCAATGAAAATAATGACGTATTGGCACAAAGACAGACATAGAGACCAATGGAATAGAACAGACAACCCAGAAATAAACTTTCACGTATGTGGTCAATTGCTTTTTGACAAGGGCACCAGGGCCATTCAGTGGGGGAAAGGACAGTCTTTTCAACAAATGGTTCCGGGAAACTGGACATTCACGTGCAAAAGAATAAAGCTGGACCCTTGCTTTATACCACAGACAAAATTAATTCGAAACAGATCACAGACCTCAATGTAAAAGCTAAAATTATACAACTCTTAGAAGAAAATATAGAGGAAGACCTTCACAGCGCTGGATGTGGCAGTGCTCTCTTGGATGGGACACCAACAGCACTGGCAACCCACAAGAAAATAGATAAGCGGGACTTCATCGAAATGAAACCTTTTGTGCCTCGAAAGACACCATCAACAGAGCAGAAAGGTGACCCATGGAATGGGAGAAACTCTCTGCAAATCATATACTGATGAGGGGTTAATATTCAGAATCCAGAGAGAACTACGACACAACCACAAAAACAAAGAAACAAAACAAAACAATAAAACCCCACCAAAACAATTCAGGATAGGCAAAGGTCTCGAATGGCCACATCTCCAAGGAAGACAGACACACGCTCAACGAGCACGTGACAAGAAGCTCACACACTAGTCATGAGGGGGATGCTAATCAAAGCCACGATAAGATTCCACCTCACACCCATTATGATGGCTATGATTTAAAAAAACAAGCAAACAAACCCTCAGAAAATAACAAATATTGCTGAGAATATGGAGAAACCAGACCTTTTGTGTGTTGCTGGTGGGAATGTGAAATGGTGAACCCGCTGTGGAAAGCAGGACGGTAGATTACTCAGTTTTAACTAGAACGACCATGTGACCCAGCAATTCCACTTCGGGGCATTTACCCAAAAGGAATTAAAATATCTCGGAAGTGGTATCTGCACACCCATGGCCGTAGCGGCCTCATTCGTAAGCAACCTGAGCGTCCAATGATGAATGAATGGATAAGCAAAGCGTGGTGCATCCATACATGGGAATATTATTCTGCCTCGAAAAAGAAGGAAATCCTGGGGCGCCTGGGTGGCTCAGTCAGTAAAGCCTCTGCCTTTGGCTCAGGCCCTGATCCCAGGGTTCTGGGATCGAGCCCCGTGTGGGGCTCCATGCTCAGTGGGGAGTCTGCTTTGCACTCACACACACCCTCTCTCAAACAAATAAATAAAATCTTTAAAAAAAAAAAAAAAGGAAATCCTACCGCTTGCCGCAGCATGGATGAACTTGGAGCATCACGGTAAGTGAAATAAGCCAGTTGCAAAAGACAAATACTGTGATTCCACTTACATGAAGCACCAGGAATAGCTACATTCGTCGAGGCAGAGAGTAGAACCATGGAGGGCAGGGGCTGGGGGACAGGGGTGTGGGAGTAGGAAGTTAGTATTTAAAGGGAACAGTTTCAGGTCTGCAAGGGGATAAGAGTTCTGGGCGCGGATGGTGGTGTGAGCTGCCCAGCAGTGTGAACGTATTCATACCCTGAATTATACACCTCGAAATGGCTGACACGGTAAATGTTCTGTTAGGTGTATTTATCACAATGTTTTTAATGGTTAAAAAAAAAAACAGGCAAACAAGACGTACTTGGTGGCTGATCTAGTCCACCAGTCTGCAGTCTCTGAGCACAGTTTTTTAAGATTCTACCTTGAGGTTCAGGGGCAAAGAGAGGGGAGTGCAGTGTGGGCACGTGGACCGGGGGTAGCAGACTTGGGAGTGCAGAGGCCACTGCTCCAGGGACATCCACAAAGGAGAGTGAGCTCGAGGTTGCCAGGATGTGGCCTGGGGCTGTTGTTGCCAATGCTGGGGACAGTCATCCAGACTGGCCGCAGCCACATGTTGGTTGCCAGGTCAAGACTGGTGGCCTCTGTGGCCTAGCTCAGCCAGAGGCCCGAAGCAGAGGTCCGGCCGCTCCCCACAAGGAGCACAGTGGGCTCCCGGTAAATTCAACTGTTGCCATGACATTGATCATGGTGATGCCACCAAAGACTCCCGCAGCCACACAAGCCCAGGTCCCAGCGGGATAATGGCAGCCCCCTTTACTGAGTCAGCTTGGTCTGTAGGGCACGGGGGCTCCCTAAGATCATCCCTTTGAGCCCCCCAATTCTGTGAGGTAGATACCATTCTTATCCCCACTGTCCAGGAAGAAAACAAAGATTCCAAGAGATGAAGCTAAGCCTTAGTTAAGCAACTCGTTCAAGGTCACCTGACCACTAAGCAGTGGACGTCAGATTGAAACTCGGGTCTGTGGGGATTTCCAGGGGGCCCTCGAACTCAACTGCCAGGGCTACACTGCCTTTCAGGAAGAGCACTGTGGGAAGGCAGCCCAGAGCCAGGATTTGAACCCAGCTCCTGGCCATGTGGTAGGACAGAGTGCCACAGAGTTGGACCCTCTGAAGAGGAGTCCAGAGACCTAGAGCTTCAGGGACATCCCCTGAAATTTTCAGTGAGGAACTCTGAGTGAAGAAATTTAAGGATCAGACTCGAGCAAAGAGGAGGAACCATTTGGAATTCTCCCAATCATCCAGGGAAGCCAGGGGTGGGAGAGGACAGGGGCTGGGAAGATCTGGAAAGCGAGGGCACAAAGACACCAGGAAGGCTGAGATGCTTCACCTTCCATTTCCCCTGTAAAAAGTAAGGAGATTTTGCTAAATGGGGCGCCTGGGTGGCTCAGTCTGTTAAGCGTCTGCCTACAGCTCAGGTCATGATCTCAGGGTCTGGGGATCGAGCCCTGCCTTCCATTGGGCTCCCTGCCCAGCGGGGAGTCTTCTTCTTCCTCCCAACCCCTGACTTGTGCTCGCTCTCTCTCTCAAATAAATAAATTAAAATCTTTACAAAAAATAAAAAAGTAAAAGAAGAAAAAAATTTTTTTAATTTGTTTAAAGTTACGAAAGGGGGCGCCTGGGTGGCTCAGTGGGTTAAGCCTCTGCCCTCGACTCAGGTTATGATCTTGGGATCCTGGGATCAAGTCCTGCATCAGGCTCTCTGCTCAGCAGGGAGTCTGCTTTCCCCCTTCTCTCTCTCTCTCTGCCTACTTGTGATCTCTGTCAAATAAATAAATAAAATCTTTAAAATAAAATAAAGTTACGAAAGGCCACGTGTTGTTATGATTTCATTTCTATGAAATGTTCAGGAAAGGCAAATCCCTACAAACAGAAAGCGGATCCCTGGTTACCAGGGGTTGTGGTGGCAGGGAAAAGGAGACTGATGAAATAGGCCTTTTTAGGGAGATGAAGATGTTCTGAAATTAGATGGTGGTGATGGTCAAATCACCATCTTAATATACTTAAGATCTTTAAATTGTACACCATAAAGGGGTGAATTTTATGGTATGTGAATTATATTTCAGTAAAGCCCTTTAAAGAAAAACTTTTTCAAAAATAAAGTGCCAGGACAGGGAAAGAAGAGCTGCTGCTAAGTTCCTGCCACGGGCCAGGCATGTCCTACAGGGTGTGAGCCCTAGACCAGCCCCCAGGCCCACAGGGCTAACCAAACCGTGGTTCTGCCCCTGTACTCATCTTGCTCCTCCTGCCACAGTCCCTTTGCACAGACTGATTTCTCAGCTCAGAACCCACATCCTCTGCTTTGTGCCAGACCTTAGTTCCAGCCCTACTTTCTCAAGGAGGCTGTACCTGACCTCCCTGACAGGTCCTGATGTCCCAGACAAAGGCCTCTGGTACAAGCCCTTATGCCCTGTGTGTGCCCACCTGCAGAGCCTTTATTACTCTTCTAACTTAACACACGAGCATGTAACAAATGTCTGCCTTCCCCAGGATGCTAGACCGCAGCCTCTGTAGGCCAGGGCACGCCTGCCCATCTGGATGTCCCCAGTGGTTAGCCTGGTGCCCAGCACATACCAGGCACTCCACAAACATCTGAGGGCAGGAGGCAGAAGGGTGATATGGGAGGCAAAGAGATACAAAGCTGGTGTGTGACTCTGCCTAGAGGAGCTCCCGAAAATGAGGCAGACAGGCCCAGAGGCAGCAAACAATGGTGTAAGTGTCTCAGAAGGAGACATGGAGCACTAGGGACACCCCAAGGAGGCCTGCCTAACTCCCCAAGGGGCAGGTGGTCAGAACAGACAGGTTTTGAGAAGAGGAGACACTGGTGCGCTGGGGGAAAATGCTGCATTGAAAAAGTGCCTAAAGGTAATCTGTTACTCCCTAGAACCAAGAACAAGTCACAGTACTCAGTCATGTTCCCCCAAGCAGAAGGTCCACAGGCTGGGTCACCACAGAGGAAGAACTTGGCTCCACCTGAGGGCAGGCCTCTCAACAGAGAGCCCTGGGCCCTGAGTTCAGGGCACAGATCTGAGGCAGAGATGACATAGAGACAGGGTGGGAGGCTTTGGGGAAGTGCAGAAGGTCAGACAGATACAAGAGACAGATGCTGACCAGGGCGGTGGGGAGCTGAGCCCCTGGAAAGGGGCCTCAGGGCCCATGTGCAGGTGGGGGAGGAGAGCCCAGGATGAGCCCCAGAGGGTACATGGCTCAGAGTCTGCACGCATTTCTCTGGCCAGCCAAGGAAGGAGATGGTATTTGCCAGCACACACCTGAGGTTCTCCCTGGCTTCTGTAGACCCGAGAGCTCCTCCTCCCACATGCACTCACACCAGCCTTTCCTTTCCTCCCAGTCTTCCCTGGGGTGACCACCGCAGTAAGTTCTGCCCAGTAGCCAGACGGGGTGGACTCTGCCCCGGCTGCAGAGTGGAAGCATCCCTGTCTGTCCCAGCTCCCCACACACTTGCACTCATGGCCTGCATTTCTGGGAAGCAGGAGGAATGGGGTACAAGGAGGAACAGGAGGGGAGACCCAGGCCTCTGTTTCTTGCCACCTTGTCCTCTCACACGTTCCTGGGCCAAGGGAGGGGACCCTATCTGTCCGTCATGCCAGCGGCCCAGTGGCTGGGTTCCAGGGGCCCCAAGCAGTGTCCTCTGAGCTGCTCCATGGTGGGCAGTGGCATCTGCCCACCCCGTCCTCCCCAGGTACCTGGTTCTGCGGCTGGGTGGAGGTGGCTTGCTGGTCACTGTCTCGGAGGGCCAGCCTCTCCTGCACGGCTGCCAGCTCCTCCTGCAGTCGGGCTTTCTCCTCCTGCAGCTGGGACATGGCCTCCACCATCCTATGCATCATGGGGGCCGCACCCGCTGGCCCCCCCAGGCTCGAGCACCTCCCGCTGCCAAAGAGCCGCCCACCTATGAGCAAAGTAGTGGCCAATCAGCAGGATGGAGAAGACCCACCCTGGCTGAGGTGCTGGGCCCGTTGGGGCAGGGCAGACCATCGGGGATGGGGTAGGGATTGCAAGCCAGTGGGACAGGGGCCAGGGACAGCAGCAGCAAGGTGGGTGGGGGGAGCCAGGGGCTCCGGGGCCTGCCCTAGAGGAAGTCATGTCCGTGAGCATCTTCTGTGAGACAGAATTGCCTAGATCAGGACTTAGGAAAGCAACTTTCACCTTACACCCCTCAAAGCATGTGCTCTAGGTCTGATGGGCCATCCCCTCTCTGTGGCCAGGCCGCAGGAATCGCAGCTGAGAGAGACACGGTTCTGGCCACGGTTGATGAAGAGTCTGGGGTTCTCTCCCCAGAAAACCCTGTTCTTGGGAGAATATGATTTCTTTAAACTCAAGCCCCCACCTAGAGTACAGGAGAGAGGCAGAGGCTCCCCAGCTTGTCACCTGACCTCCGCAGGGAGTGGTCACCGTCACACAGAGAAGGCGAGGGGAGGGTGTGCAGGTGCAAGCGACAGCCAGACCAGGACACACGGACACAGACACAGCACGTGAGCAGGAACACTGCCAGGCCCGCTGCAGGGCCAACGCCTGCGCTGAGGACAGGGACCACACGGGCAAGAGGAAGTGATAAATACCGGGGGGGGGGGGGTTGCCTTGGCCTGAGTCCTCCTCCTCCCTCGGCCTTCCACTGTCCTGTCACCAGGAGCAGGAGAGAGACAGACAGACGGACGGAAGGACAAAGACAAAGAATCAAGGGCCATGACCTGCCAATAGGTCCTGGGATGCATGTCATAGCTTGCTTGGAGGACACCAAAAAAGGCCACCGTCTCTGCGAGGAGCTGGGGATGTGCGGGGTGGGGCAGAGGAGAGGCTATGAGGGCCGGAGATTTGCCTCTCCCCTTCGGTAGCCCAGTCGGGGACCCGGCCAAAGCCCCAGGAGGCAGAAAGAAGTGACCCAGAGTTTAGTGTGACAAGTGGCATCTGCTGATTCCAGGTCTCCACTCTGAGAGCGGCAGGGGTTCTGGGCTCCCCCACGCTACACCCCAGGAGCCACAGCTGAGAGGCAGGACACCCAGGGGCTCTGCGCACACCCCTGCTGGCAGCTTCCACCCTACCGGAGGCAGCAAGTGCACTCACGCTCACCGAGACTTCAGAGAAGCCACAACAAAGCTTCCAGGCTGGGCAGGATGTCTCAGACCTGTCCCCAGGAGGCTGGACCCTGAGGACGCTCAGGTCCCACTCTCAAGAGAGCAGGCGAAGCACACACGGGCTGGCTGTTCCCTTTCTCCCAGTCCCTTGGAATAGCTACAACTCAAGACTCCTGGAGAGCTGGAGCAGGCTTGTCCCGGCTGGCTCGTGGCCCTGGCCGTGGGGCCTGCAAGTGACGCAGCAGGGGTATCACACACACTTGGCCAAGCTTCTGCTCTCTGTTCTAGAGAGAGTGAGGTCAGATGGATGCTTCCAGGCCTGCACACGGGGATGCCGTGAGCAGCATGTGACCAGCAAGGCCCTCGGCCCTGTGCAGACTGCTGTGGTGATATAGGGAACACTCTGGACTCCAGGTCCTGGGAGCTAGCTCTGCCACCTATGAGGCCCTGGGGTCCTTCTCTGCAAAATGGGGATACCAATCCTTGCCCAAAGAGGCAACCTTGGAAAAGGAGCCCGGATTCCATGAGGAATGGATAGAAGTGAGTGTCACCCAACAGGCCACAGGGCTAGGATGAGACATGGAATCGTTTTTCTCGTCCAGGGCACTTGAGAAAGTTCTGAGACACCCCCAGAGCGTGGGTTCATCCTGACCTCAGCACAGGGGCTCAGCCAGGGGAGCTGAAACGGGGCCTGGAGAGCACTTGCTAGGGGAGAAAAGACCTTGAAGAAGTTAAGGGAGATCAGAGGTGGAGGGAGAGGGGAGATCAAAGGGGCCCTTGGGGACAAGGAACTGAGGGGCCTTCCTGCTGAGAAGGCTGCCTGCCTCTCTTAGTGAGTCAGTTGTCAGTGCAAGTTGTCACTAGGGAGCGTGTGTCGGAGACCCTGCCTGCGCACTGCCTCTCACGGCCACCCAGCCACAGGGACGCTGAGGGCAGGCCCTGGCCCCACTGACAAGACTTAGTCCCCATTCTTCACAGGAGATGGTCTCTCTCTTCTCCACAAATTAGGAGAGCCGACCTGTTTGGCTGGACAGTGCACCCCTTCCCAAGGCCGGTCTGCCTACACAGCGGACAGACCCTGGCACCAGCCCCTGAATGCCAGACAGGCAACCACAGCTCTCGGACAACCCCAGACAAGGGAGTGGCAGAAAACAGAACTGACAGAAACACCAATCGACCCCTGGTGACTGGGGGAAGAAAGCAAGAGAAAGCTTTTTTCTCCACACATTCTTGGCCATCCCCTTTGGCTCTTTGAGGATGCTTTTTTCCCAATTACTGCTAGGCTCAGGTTTCCTGCTAGGGAACCCCATGAAGGGGGCCCATAGAATCTTCCAGAACCAGTCATCCTGCACAGAGAAGGTAGCCACCAGCTCCTCTACCCTGGCCTTGTGGCAGTAGGTAAAGCCCTGTCCTAGAGCCCATGGGTCCCCGATGGATCCGCAGAGAAAGGAGATGGGTTCCAGCCTCTGTCTACAGGCTGTGGCATCTTTGAGGCTGCCACCGTTGGCCTGCTTTTGACGGGCACTGGGGGAAAGACAAAATGTAGGGAAATTCAACCCCAGCCCACACAGGCCTCTCATCCCTGGATGGGGCCCTGGTGGCACCAGGAGGGGGGCATCCCTGGAATAGGGGTGGGCAGGCTGGGGTCTCTGAGTTCCATGTCCAGATGGCCAGGACTTTGCCGGGCCTCCTCCAAGTGACGAGGACAGCAATGTGGGGACTGCTCAAATGCCACAGCAGCCTCCCCTCCAGGGCCAGCTTCAGCGGGGGCTGTTCCAGGTTGGCGGGCAGGCCTGCTTTACCTGTTTTCTCTACATTCATGGTGCCACCAGCTTCCTGGGCCTCCCGGTCCCGCCTGGGGGCCGGCGCCTGCCTCTTCGGGAGCTTCTCTTCTTTCGTCCCCTGACTCTTGTTCTCGCACCCCTTGTCCAGCAGGGCTTGCTGCCAAGACACAACCAGAATCCTCACGTGAAGGGGCCTGCAGTGCGGAGGGGGTCCCCCGAGCCCAAAGACAGTGTGCTCCTGGAGCTGGTGAGCACCCTGGGCCCAGGGATCCATCCCTTGCTGTGTGAGTGGGTGAGGACAACGAGGCCTGGGGTCCGGAAGAAATGTGTCCTGATGCCATGACGAGACAGTGGCGGCACATTTTTCTTGGCTCCTATTGGCAGCTGGCCATCTGCATCAGCAAACAAGGCTCTTGGGCACTTGGATGTTCTCACAGGAAGCTCGCTGGGCTGTCCCTGCAGGCTCTGTGGGGTGTGAGCCACTGGGGCAGCGGCCTGCTTGCTTCAGGACCATAGCCCCACTATTTACAGGGCTGTCCAGTCCCACAAGGCACCCCACAATCTCAGGGCAACTCCCCCCCATGATGTCAGCTGCCCCCACCTACAGACAGGCACCAGTTTGGGATTGCCAAGAGGGGGGCACACAGTTCCAAGTGAACAGGGGAAGGCTGTGCTCCCTCCCATCTCCTGGTCAAGGAGAAACCGAGGCAAAGAAGGCTGAGGTAGAACAGGCCAGTGGACAGGCTGGGAGAGAAGGAAAGACAGAAAGAATCATCCAGAGAAAATCACCTGCAGCTCACAAAAACATCCAAAGCAAGCCACAGAACCACATGTAGTGTGCAATCCCATTTGATAAGACAATTAAACAGGCCTCAAAAAAAAAAAAATCTGGGGAACTATATAGACAATGATTGTCTCTGGGAGGTCAGGTGATATGGCAGCTAGGAGAAGAAATGGGCCTCATTTAAACTTTTGGGTGAGTAAAAAGAAACTTAACCATGAGAATATGGGAAGAAGGGGAAGGAACCTTTACATTTCATTTTGAACCTCTTCTTAGCATTTGTATTTTCAGTCTTATAAGCATCTACAGTGTTCTGTTTTTGAATGTCAACAGAAATTATCTGGGAATGGGATTACAGATACATTTTATTTTATTTTTTTTAAGTTTTATTTAAGTAATCTCTACACACAACATGGGGCTCGAACTCGCGACCCCAAGATCAAGAGTTGCGTGCTCTTCTGACTAAGCCAGCCAGGCACCTCTACAGACACATTTTTGTGTGTCTTTGTGCCTCTGTATTTGAAACAAAAAACAAATGCTCTGTTTGAAAGAATGCCCCAAGAAAGGGGAACCCTCTTACACTGCTGGTGGGAAGGCAAGCTGGGCAGCCACTCTGGAAAAGAGAATAGAGTTTCCTCAAAAAGTTGAAAACAGAGCTACTCTATGACCCAGCAATCGCGCTACCGGGTATTTACCCCTAAGGTACAAATATAGTAATCCAAAGGGGCTCGTGCACCCCAATGTTTATAGCAGCGATGTCCACAATAGCCAGACTGTGGAAAGAGCCCCGATGTCCATTGACACGTGAGCAGAGAAAGATGAGGTGCATATACATATAACGGACCATTACTCAGCCGTCCAGAAAAATGAGATCTTACCATCTGCAGTGACATGGATGAAACTCGAGGGTATTACGCTAAGCAGAGTAAGTCAGAGAAAGACAATTATCATATCTCACTGATACGTGGAATTTAAGAAACAAAACACAGGATCATAGAGGAAGGGAGGGAAAAATCAAATAAGACAAAATCAGAGAGGGAGACAAACCATAAGAGACTCTTAACTGCAGGAAACAAACTAGGGTTGCTGGAGGGGGGTGTGGCAGGGGAAACGAGGGCACTGGGTGGTGGGCATGAAGGAGGGCATGGAATGGAATGAGTACTTGGGGTTTCATACAACCGATGAATCCCTAAACTCTATCTCTGAAACTAATAATATGTTAATTAATTGAATGTAAATAAAATTTAAAAAAAATTTTTTTAGGGGGCGCCTGGGTGGCTCAGTGTTTTAAAGCCTCTGTCTTAGGTTCAGGTCATGATCTCAGGGTCCTGGGATCGAGCCCCACATGGGCGCCTCTACTCAGCGGGGAGCCTGCTTCCTCCTCTCTCTCTCTCTGCCTGCCTCTCTGCCTCCTTGTGATCTCTTTCTCTCTGTCAAATATATAAATAAAATCTTAAAAAAATTTTTTTTTTTAAATAAAAGAATGCTCTGAGTCTGGAGTTCAGAAAGTGCCAGGTGTGAAGCCTGGCTCTGCCTCAGGGGAGCTGTGTGGCTCTGGGCGAGTTACTTTCCTTCCCTGAAGCTTCATTTTCCCCATTCTCAAAACAGAAATGTTATCAGCCTCCTGACGTGGCTGGCGTGAAGGCTAAGCTGCAGGAACTCGTGCCAAGTTCTCAGAGCAGCCGGCGCACAGTCAGAACCCGAGACCAGGTAGCCGTTAGCATTATATTCTTTCTGTACGTCTCCTTGTTGTTATTTGTTAAGTATTATTATTTTTGTAACCCCAAATCCAACAAACAGAGAAAAGAAAGAGAAAGGCCACATGAGCAGCCTCGGTGTTCACCATGTCTGACTCCCTCTCTCTCGACCTCACGTTCTGCTTGAAAAGGGAGGGTGGTGAGCAAAATCTCTTGTACATAGAAAAACTCCCCCCGACTTTATTTGGTCCCCACCCTGTGACCAACTGCCACCCCACCCTGAGCCGGCTTGTCAGCGGTGGCGGCGATGGCAGCAGCTGGGGGTTTCCAATTGCCGACCAGAGCAAAGGTTACACTATTTCTGGCCTGTTGGCCAAGCCACAGGAAGGGCAGCCGGCCCCCCACACTCCTTACCCCCGGGGCAGGGGTGGGGGTGGTTCCTGCAGCGCCTCCAGAGGGAGCATCCCAGGGTCTAACTACTGGAGAGGATGGGACAGGGGGCGGTTCCCTAAGCCTACCAGGTCACCCCCCAGTGCCTGGGTCCCTCCTTCAGCCCCACAGCCCTGACCTCAGAGCACCGATAAACATAATGGGGCCCAGAAGGACACCAACATGCAAACTGGTTGCTGACAGGAGCTTCTCAGAGAATCGCAGCAGATCTGCTGACCCCAGGACTAGGCAGCAACCACAACTCAACACCCCATAATCAAAATTCAGGAAGACAGCCACCGCCCAATTCCAGGCAGCCGGTTTCTGACCACCTCCCGATTTAACTACCAATGGCTCAAGTCAGGAAAAAAAAAAAAAAAATGGGTTCTCTGGTTTCTTTAACTGTTCCCATACCAGACTTGCTTTTCTTGCAGACCGAAAGATAAAAGAAGGACCGTTTGGTTCAGTTTGCACATGAGCCACACAAGAAGGGCCGGGAAGCTCTGAAGCCACATGAGACCCTAGGCTCTGCTCGGATCAGAACTTGGGGCTGCAGGCCAGGCTGGCTCACAACTTCCACCTGCATGAGGGAGGCTATGCCCTCCCAGGGCACCTAGGTTTCCCGCACTCCATCCTGTCCCCCTATTTGCCCATGTCCCTTCAACGTGAGCCCTCTCCTGTACCATCCTTCCTGGGAAGGGGGTCTTTGCAACACAACACCCTGAAATAACTCTGGTCCTTCATGCAGACAGTCTATTTCTCTGCTCTGGAATGGGCCAGCACCTGGCATGGGGGTGCACTGTAAATACATTAGCAAACGTATTCATTTAAAAAGTGCAGCACCTGCACTGTTCTGACATTGCTCCAAGCTGTAGCTGTGTGCATGCAGAGATATTTAAGGAGTTCATAGCAATCAGAAAGGATACAGAGGACTGACAGATAATTTATGGTAAACCCTGAAGCAGAATACTTTGCAGCAGTTTAAAAGAATGAGGGAGTTCTTTGTATATGGACAAGCATGATGAAATTGCCAAGATTTACTGTTGAGGGAAAGAGCTAGTCACAGGACAGTGTGTACAAATAAATAATAAAATTGTATAAATATAAGTAAGTGGTTACATAGGAAAAATACATAAACACCCAACTCTAAATAGTGGATTTCTCCAAGATACAAGGCTAAAGGAGGCATTCGGTATCTAAATATCACATCCCTTTGTGAATTCTTTTTTTTTTTTATTTCTTTTCAGCGTAACAGTATTCATTGTTTTTGCACCACACCCAGTGCTCCATGCAATACGTACCCTCCCTAATACCCACCACCAGGTTCCCCCAACCTCCCACCCTCCAGCCCCATGAATTCTTTACACTGTATGTTAGAAAGCTCGTTGTGTTTAGCTATTCAGATCCCGGGTTGCTGTGTGACCAGTAGCAAGTTACTTAACCTCTCTGAGCCTCCATTACTTCATTCCTACAACTCAGATAAAACAGTAACCGGGTCTTGAGATTGCAGAGTACTGATGTGAGATATACAACACATGGCCCCAGTGCCTGGTACAAAGTCCGTGTCCAATAAATAATAGTTATTAGCACTATCGTTATGTATTATCTCTACGACCAAATACACAAATATACATAAAATTTGTCTTTTGAAAAATCACTTGATGATAACTGCAAGAGAAAAGAACCCAAATTTTGGCAAAATTCCTCTGTCTAGCTTTGGATTCCCATGTCAAATAGGAAATACAAGTATCGCCCTACGGACAACCATGCTCAAATGGGAATTAACAGCTACCCCCAAAACCTGCCTGTTTTCCTAGTAGCTTCTCAGCGAAGGTCCCACATTTCTCACTTTAACACCTCAGCCAGGGTGTGGCTGAAAAGTTTCTGTCATCTCCTGTGAGATTTTCCCAGAGATAACCTAATAAAGCAAATTGCTCCATCCACGCGGGCTCGGGGTGGACATGGCGCAAGGAGCTCGGCAAAGAGACTCAAGGCCCCCTGTCAGGGCTTCCTTCCCCAGACAGCCTGCTGGAGACCCACCTGCAGAAGCTCACAGAGCTAAGGCCCACAGCCTGGCTCGGCCCGTCACCTCTCAGAAGGCCCCAGTGCTTACCTGCACGGTCAGGTAGAGCCTGTGAGGGCTCCCAGGGCCAGCCCAGTCCACACTGAGGGCTCGGCACTGCGCTAGGGCCGGGCGGGCTGCGCTTCGGGCACCGGAGTCCTCGTCACTGCTGACCAGGGTGTCTCTTCCACGCCCTGTCCCAGGACAGAGAATACAGGTAAGATGCTAGGCCCCTGGCTGAAGGCTGCTGGCCAGGACCCCTGGCTAGGGCTGCCTCTGAGCTCTGCTTCCCCATCGTCTGGGCCGGCCCAGGCGCGGCCAAGAGGGACTCACACGCCCTCACACGCCTGACCTACTCGGAGGGAAGGCCTGGCACCAGGCAGGGGCTGTGTGTGCTCTTTCTTCTGGAAAGCCACCCAGAGCTTCTCTTGAGGAAGTCACCTGAAACCTCTGGGGCAGGGGAGGGGGTGCTCCCAGACCTCCACAGTGGTCTCTGGGGCTGGCACTTGCTCACACCCTCTCCAGAGAGCAGCAAAGGGAAGCCAATGCCAGCCTGGCTGTGCCTGTCTTCCCAGGAGGTGTACTCCAGGGCCGTGGCTTTATTACCAAGGCCGCCTCTAGGGGGCGCTTTCTCCCCTGCCTTCCTAAACAGCAAGGGGGACAGGCTCCAAAAGCATATTTGGGACCAGCTAAAGCACATCCCCTGGAGTCTTTGACACATTGCCGCCCTCACTGGACAGGAGAGAGAGCTGACCCTGGTATGGATATCCCATGCACCCCACCTCAACCCCCCGCCAGGGCCTTCCTCCCCTGTCTGATCCTCAGTTTCTTTGCCAACACTATGGGGTAAGGAACCAAGCTCAGAGTTCTGGGCTGAGGGTTACAATGAATGACATACATAATGTGCTCACTCTGTGCCAGACACACAGAAAGCGGCCACGGATGCAGGCCCTTAGGACCACAGCCGAGGGGGTGACTAATGCGCCCAGGGTCACACTGAGCCAGTCCTGCCATGCCATGGGCTAGCCGGCATTCTGAAGGCAGAGGTGAGAGCCAGGGTGGGGGCGGAGAGGCCAGGGGTGACCAAGCTGGGTGACACCCTACTCAGTGTTAGGCACTCTGCTTAGCATTTCACCCACGGGATTTCATTTGACCTTTGTCTTAAATTGTAAAAGTGGATAAGCCTGCATGGTCATATGATCTTCCTAATACTCATTCAATAGATCAATATGCATGCGTGCCCACATACATAAGATTGGAAGGAACTATATAAAATGTCCACTAGCAACCTTATAGGTGATTTTTATTTTGTTTTGTATACTTTTCTGTGCTTTTTATAGAGTTTTTTTAAAAATTTTTTTAGTTTTTTAGGTTTGAGTGATTTTTTTTTTTAGTTTTCCAAAGGAACATGTTTTTGCTTGTTTTTTCCCCTTTCCTTCCTTCTTTCCTTTCTGTCTTTCTTTCTCTCTCTCTCCATTTTTTTTTTTTTTTAACCAGAACAGCAATACTCATTCATATATCACATCTGTAATCCTTAGGAAAACCTTGTGGAGCAGAGGCCATCTTCATCCCTTCCAGACAATTGAGGCTACCTGACCCACAAGCCTAAGCTTTTCCCAGAGACCCCAGGGCCATCCCCAGCCTCACTTGTCCCCTGCAGAGACTTTGGGGGGTATCACTCTGGCAGCCATCACTGGCACAAGTGTGGTGGGAGAGAGGGGACTGAAGAGGAATTTGCTGTGTGCCCTCTCTGGGCCTCAGTTTCCCCTTCTTTACAGGGGCGGGCAGGGGGACTTAAGTCTAATGGCCTAGAGGGACTCTGTTAGCTCAGACAGGCTGGTAACCTAAACCCCTTTCTCTGTAGGTCAGGAATAACAGACAGCAAGCCCCTCAACACACCTTGATTGAACACGCCTCTCTTCCTCCACACTTCAGGAAGACTTGCCCAAGTTCAGCTCAGGAGACAGTCATGGGGCAGCCCCCTAGACCCGATGATCCAGCTGGCACCGGAAATCAGATGTGCCACTCACTTCTTGGCGTGTGAGGTGCCAGGGGACATGACCCAGAAAGGAGAGCTGGTGTTGACAGCTCCCCCAGGGGGACAGCTGGAGCCTGCACTCAGGGACTCCTTCACTGCCCACCTGCGTCGGGGCCCCTACAGGAGCCGACCCGGATGGCACCTGAAACCAAGCGCAGGGCACCCCAACTCGGCCGGGTGGCCTCGGTAGGCTCCTTGCGCCCCCAGCGGGCCGGCCGGTCGCGCTCAGGTGTCAGCGCCCGCGCGGGGCACCGGGCAGCCACTTCACCTACCTTGTTTACCAGCCGCAGGCAGAAACCGGAGCGAGACCGCCAGCGCTCGGCCAGGGACCAAGGACGCGCCGCCCTCGGAGCGCCCCCCGCCCGGCCGGGTGGAGAGCGCGTGGTTTGGGCGGCGTTGTCCCCCTGCTCCAGCGACCGCGTTGAAGTTTAACTCGGCGTCCGGGACCTCTCTTTACGGGCGGGCGCGGGGCAAGAGCGCCGGCGAGATTGACGCCCCGACTGCGACTCCGCGCCGGCCCGCGGGCTGCCCGGCACCCTGTAATTACCTGACAGCTCTGACTGAGCCTAGGAACTTGCGAGAAAGCCCGGCTTCATCTCTGCTATCTGGAGGAAGGAAGGGAAATAAAGAGGCATTTTAAAAATGCGGACTCACCAGTTCTCAACCTCCCCGGGCCGGTGTATGGGAAAGGGCGGGCGGCCGGGCTGGCGGGGGCGGGGCGAGCCATCCCGGGCTCCGGCTCCCCGGCCCGGCCCACTCTCCACAGGCCGCGCAGCGAGGGCGTGGCTCCCAGGTTCCACGGCCGGCGGGACGGGACCATGGCCCGGGGCTCAGCGGCCTCCTCGGGGCGCCGGGCGGCCTGCGGACAGAACAGGGAAGGCGAGGCTGAGCCGGCTGCCAGGCACCCGGAGCAGGGGCTGGGGGACAGATCAGAGCCCGCCTGCAACGGGGCCACCTGTTACCGAGAGCGGCAGCCCCAACTCCAATGCCACCTTCATACCCCCGCCCCCTGCAAAGATCCCTGGGCTTGTGGGATGAAACAGAGCCTATCACCATTTCCGGGTGCTTCTTCCCAAGTAAGGAGGCTCAGAAGTGGGTGAGGACCCCATCAGATGTGTCAGCAGCACACTAAGGAGACCTCACATCTCAGCCCCTTCACTGGAGGCCTGGCAGCCTGGAGGCGCACCAGGTCACAGCCACACACGGAGGCAGCACGAGTCAACAGCATCTCCGTAAATCTAATCAGATTTAATTAGCATCTTGGTACTAAGCAGGAAGGGCGGACTGTGGCTAGCGACAAGATAGGCTTATATGGACCAAATTCTCTTAAAGTCCACTCATGCTATTCAAGTCCGCTTCACTCTGTGCCTACAACTTGGCAGACAGTAAGATACAAAGATTCATTGCTTCTTCATCTAATAATTATTTATCTGGTGTCTGTTGTGAGCCAGGCACCTGCCAGGGGTCCTCTTTGATCAGGAGAGATGGGGAGCTCCCTGTCAGGAGGGAGGTAAGCACTTCAACAAACTTTCAAGATCGGAACAGGATGCAGGGAGGCACCAGGTGGTATGGGAGAAAGGGAGGTGGGGGGCACTGGCTGGGATAGAAAGCCCCATGGGGGGATGCCTGCGTAGTGCAGTGGGTAAGGTCTGACTCCTGGTTTTGGCTCATGTCGTGATCTCAGGGTCTTGAGATCGAGCCCCAAACAGGGCTTCACACTCAGCGTGGAGTCTGCTTGAGATTCTCTGTCCCCCTGCCCTTCCCCCTTGTGCATGCTCTCTAAAATAAATAAATAAATCTTAAAAAAAAAAGAAAGAAAGAAAGAAAGCTGCATAGGTCCCTCTGAGCAGATGAACTGAGCAGATGAATAGGACAGACTTTAAGTCTTCCCCACATAAGTCTTTGTTGAACACCTATCATAGGTAAAGCAGCTACAGTCCCAGACTCAGACGGCAATGCCATTAACAGAAGAAGCCAAGTCAGTCAGAAAGGCAAAGTGGGATTTGCTTTTGGTTTTAAATATTTGGGGGGGGGGGGGGCGCCTGGGTGGCTCAGTAGGTTAAAGCCTCTGCCTTCGGCTCAGGTCATGATTCCCAGAGTCCTAGGATGGAGCCCCACATCGGGCTCTCTGCTCTGCAAGGAGCCTGCTTCTTCCTCTCTCTCTGCCTGCCTCTCTGCCTACTTGTGATCTCTGTCTGTCAAATAAATAAATAAAAATCTTTAAAATAAATAAATAAATATTTTTTTTGATAGACCCCTGGCAATAGCTTGACAGGTGGGTACCCTGAAATGCGTGTGTACATACCAGCCCGGGCTGAAGCCAGGCAAAGAGCAGGGCTGGGGACTCAGAGCTGGGAGGCTAATGAGGGTCCCACTGCCACAGTGGAGGACACAGTCACCAAACGTAACCAAGCACGGAGCTCACTCTGGGTGGTAAGGAACGTTGGAGAAGGACGGTCAGAGGTGGCGACAACACCAGGCAGGTGCGGAGTCTTCACACATGACCGGATGGTGGGGAGGGGTGGGGAAGCAGGGGATGGTCAGTTCCCAGCAAACAATGCCGTGGGGAGGTTAAACTGGAGAAAGCCCTGGGGGCTCTGGAAGGGAGCCCAGCCATGGAGCCGCACAGAGGGCAGACCTGGGTAGGCCCAAGAGGTGGGCAGGGCTAAAGGAAGTGGCTGCTTTCTTCTGCGGGGAAGTTTGGCTAGGGTGAGGAGGAGAGGCTGAGTTGAGAGGATGTGGTATGTAGAATAGGAGGGATCCGAGCCTGCTGGGTGGACAGGGCCAGGATGAATAAAGCAGGGAGAGGCAAGAAGTTAGGGCATAGCGATGGGCAGCAGAAGATCTGGTGATGACAGTTCACACAGCCGGGCCCTAGAAGAATGCCAGGCTTACTGACTAAGAAGCTGTGCTCTCTGCCTTCCCTGACTGAGAAAGACAACTTGGAGGAGGCTCCTGGGTACAGTATTACTGGACTGTGGGCTAGAGGATGGGGCGGAGGCTAATCCAAATATCTGGGCCAGCTCCATTGAGGGAACAAAGACGGACCCTTACGGAGCAGAAGGAACCAGGGGGAAGCGCCAGATGCCCTTTTCTCTAGGTTGCTTGGCACGGAGCTGGGCACACGACCAACCCCAAGGACCAGCAGCCTAATGGAAGAAAGGCTCCACATGCCTGGAAAGGTGAGACGGGCGTTGAAGGTGGATTCCCTGTTTGAGAGAGAAGACTGTTAAAGAGATCAGCTTTGTCTGAGGGACGGGGACAGAAGGAGACAATGCTTCTGTGACTTTCTGGAAGGGAAGTTGGAGAGGGAGCCGGGAAGATATCAGGAAGAAGGAGGAAGGGTGTGTGCAAGATCCTGAAGAGGAAAAAGCAGCTGAATTTAGAGCTAGTAGGGTGGAAAGGTCAAAAGTATCCAGGACCTCAAATAAGCCCAAGCCTGGGGCTTCTGCCAACTTGGGACCCACAGGGTGGGACAACAGGGACATGGTGTGGAGTGGCTATGACCAAAAGCTGCTTCAGACCCAACTCTGCCACTTACTGGATGTGTGACCTTGGGAGAATTACTTTCTCTGTGCCTCATTATCTCCATCTGAAAATGGGGAGAACTCCACCTTATAGGGTTAGTATAAGAATTAGACAATGCATATATAAAGTGTTCATAACAATGCTGGCATATACAACGAACTCAAAATTTTTATTTTTTAGTCATCTCCCTCCCTCCAGTGGTGGGTGAGTGCAGAGGGGCTGGCTTGAGAAGAGGGAAAGATTTACCCCTCTTTGTCTAGACCACGGGAGTAGAGCTGTAACACCCCCCGCCCCCCGCCACCCCTGCGCTCTGCCAGACCAGGGATATTGCCATAATTTGAGGGACAGACCTGACAAGTGCCCAGATACTGCTGCTGGGGAGGCTTAAGTCTCCCTGGAAGAGAAGGTCAGGGAGGTTAGACAGGGGCTAGCTAGTCCCTCCCCTGCACACAATCACAGGCCCCGGGTCTTCCAGGACAACCTAGACCTCAAAAACCTCCACTCCCATAAGAACAGCAGAACTCATCACCCTGAGTCCCTGAAGTCCAGTAACTGCAAATACAGGGCCCCATTCTGAGGCTGCATTCCTTGCCAATGACTCTCCCTGGCCAAGGAGACGGCTACTTTACCAAGGGCATGGGGAGTGTGCCTGGGCAGGAGAGGTGCCCCCAGCCTCATGGCCCATGGAAGGTGAAAGGTCAGGGACAGTGGGGACCCACAATCTTGAGACAGGTATGCTGGGGGTTGGGCGGGAATACTTGAGAATTTAAATACAGCTTCCTTTTGAAAAATCTCCCAGAACCAGGCCCTTCACACTGCGCCAGAGTTCTGCTCTAACTCACAACAGGGGTTTGAAGGAGGTGGCTTTTGGCTTGCCCTCCCTCCTGGGATCCCCCGGGCTGCTGCTGTCACTGTCTCAATTTCCTACTGCCCAGGAGGGCACCCGCCCAGGCCTTCCTTCCAACCACAGGGCCGCCCTACCCTCCCCTGCCCTGCGAGGGGAAAAGCGAACTGCCCAGGGAACGTACGTGGTGGGAGGGCTGGAAACTGCAGCCTTCAAGGGATCCCTGGGGGGTGCGGGGAAAATCTCCGCAAGAGGAGGGGGATGCCTTGACTGACACGCGGTTCCCCGGGTCGGTTATGGCTCTCTCGGGCCAAAGAGATGGGAAGGGGGTTCCTGAGGCTGCTGCGACCCCAGGGGACGTGCCGCCCCAAGCCGTGCTGCGAGCAAGGTCCTTGGTTCTGGCTGGACGGCGCGGGGTTCGGCGGGCGACCGCGCAGGGCTGCTTCTCCCGGGCCCGACCTTCCCCGCGCCCCGCAGCGGGCCCGGGCAGGGGAGGGGGTCCTGCGGGCAGGGCGGGCCCGGACGCAGCACCCGGAACGGCGGGCCGGGCGGATCCCGAAAGCCCAGCCCGCCCCTCCTCCCCCGCCACCGGCTCGCCAGGGTCCCCGACTCACCGGCCTGGGGGAGGCAGGATCCCGGCGTCGCCGCAGAGCCCGGGGCTCGGCCGGACCGGGCCCGCGGGTGGGAGGCAGCTCCACGCCGCCGCCTTCTCGGCCCGCCCCGCTCCCGCCCCTCCCGCACACTTTCCACAGGAAATGATTAACTCGGGCCGCGGCGCGTTCCCATGGCAACTGGCTCTTGCCCAGGCGGGGGTCGGCGGCGCGCGCGCGCTCCCGCGCACTCTCCCGCGCGCGCGCCCACACTCACACGCGGGGCCGCCCACTCGGCGGCCTCCCGGCTCCGCCCAGATGTTCTGGCTGGGCCCTGGGGGCCCCGCGCGCCGCACACGCTAGTGCACACGTGCGCGCACACCCACTGGTGTACACACAGCGTCATACGTGCTCGTGCTTTCGTCTGTGGGCTCTCGCACGCCGGTACACACGTCCCTCACACATGCCTTCACACATGCTCTGGTCCGCAAGCGCAAACCCATCCAGTATTCACACACGTGCCCACGCTAGTCCTATATACGTGCCTTTGCGCTTAAACTTACACTCTGACGCGCACATCCCCTAACCCTGGTGGTACAGAACTTTCGCCCACGCTCGTTACTCCTCACACATACACTTCTCCCATGCTGTCCTTCACACGCCCTCACACACCAGCTCGTTTTCTGGACCTTCTAACACACACACGTTCACACACGCACTCACACACTCTAGATGGCGCATGTATACACTTGCACATTCTCACACGCTTTACACACGCACTCACGTTATCGTCAGGTGCTCAGACGCACACGTGCTTCCCCACACATTGTCCGCGTGCACACATACACTTGCTCACCCTCACATTTTTGCACACACTCTATGCCTCGTCCTCTGACACTCTAGTAGACACATCCTTTAAAACCCAAGTCCTCGCTTTCACTCCCACTCTCTCACGCTCTGGTAGCATGCATATACACACACATCACACGTTATCACTCATGTTTACACACACACATGTTCTCACTAACACTAGTAGGAATACACAGGCCCGGCTGCCTCCCCAGCCACCGCATCACTCCCGAATTAACATCTTCCAGGCCGTAGGGTTTTTTAAGGTAAAATATTCCTTTAGGCGCCAGTGAAAACCTGTCCAGAGTGCAACCACTCCAGAGCACGTAGCCCTCCCAGCGCCGTCCAGAAGTCCCTCCTTGGGGGACGTCTCGGAAGAGGCACAGGGAACGCCAGGGAGCCAGCCAGCCAAGCAGGGACAGCTGACCCAGAGGAGCCACTCTGTTCTTTGTCTCCCAAACAGAGGCGGCCTTTTACTCCCAAGCCTGCACCGTTGTCCCCTCCAGGGTGCAGGAGGAGGAGAAAGAAGCTCAGAAGCCAGCACAGTGCAGGCTGATGGTTCCACAGATAGTCCGAGAAGGGTGGGCGCTTGACTTTTCCCGGTGTCTCAGGGGATGGCCCAAGAGGTGCAAGGAGGGGACTGGAGGGAGACACGCAGATCAATGAAGGTTCTGTCTCCTGTCGCTGCCCAAGCACTGGGCTGGCAGTCAAGAATCTCAGCCGGAAACAGAGCCAAGGTCCTGGGCCTCAGATTGTTCTGGATGCCAGAACAGGACACTCACAATCCCCCTACTGGAAGTGGACTAATGTGTGTTTTATTTTCTGAGACGCCCAACTGAAGGCCCAGCAGATGATAAATATCCTTCTCCTGGAATGGTTTCTTGGAGAGTTAGAGATTTCCAACTACAAACCCCAGAAAAGCCTCCCAACAGGAGGGGAGGCCATAATTTGAGAGTTTCCTTCTCAGAACCCCCTGCCTTCTCTCCAGACAAGAGTGGCCAAGGGGACTACAGGGCTGGATGAGGGCAGGGTATCTCCAGAATCCTGACCAAGTATCTCCCTATTATCTGAGTGAGGCAGGTTGTTTGTCTCTAAAGTCCTGGTAGAGAACTGGAGGCCTTGTCTTCCTTGCTGGCCAGTACGGTGGCATTAACTGCAGGTTCGTTCTGACAAAGCCAAAGCCAGATTTTTAAATTCATGATAACATTTATTGTTCGTTTTCTCTGATTACAAAAGTAATAGATGTTCATTGTAACCATAATCCCACCCACTGGAGATAAATACTGCCAACATTTTAGTACAGTCTTTTTAAATTTTTTTTGGTATCACATAATAGCTACCATTTATTGAAAGCAAACACTGTGCCAAGCACTGCGCTGAACTCTTTATAAACAAGATCCCATTTAACCCTGAACACCCAACGAGGTCGACACCAGTATATGCCCAGTTATCAGGAGAGGAAACAGCCTCCCACAGTTCATTCATAAACCCAGGGTGTGATAGAGCTGAGATGTGAGACCAATGCGGCTGGGGTGGGGTGTATGCACACGTACAAGCAAACAGATCGTACTATCGTATGTAACGAGTTTCAAATACCAGATGCAAGCATTACTAAGATCAAAGCACTAGTGGAAAAACAAAGAAAATTGAGGTATTAGATGGAAACTCTTTTGAGGTTCTTGCAAAACTTTGACTTGAAATTGCAAAAGCAAATTGCTTTATGATTGTTGGAATTTAGCTTAAGAATGTACGATGTCACCAGCAACTATACACTAATGACTTCAAGGTCATTTCTATCGTAAAAACTTCACTGATGGTTTGGATGTGGAGGCTGCCAACTATCTCCTGGCCACAGGGAAGGTAGAGATTGACCAGAAACCTGGCCATCCCAGTGCGGAGGTCCTGAATCCGTAAGTGAGGACTCTTGGGTTCAGCCTTTGGCCTTGCCCTTTTGCCCGCCTTCTGGCAGAAATATAGAAATGGAGGGAGGGCCACACAAGAGGCAGTGGCCAGAACCCTGCAGCCCCATATCCATATCCTCCCTGTCCCCCAGGTGGGGGTTCAAAGAGCCTGAAACCCCTTCACTTTTAGGCATCCATCCAAGAGATAGTCAGGGGCCCAAGAAGTCTATGGCCCAGAGGGAAGTGAAGAGGGGAATAACACGGATTGTGTTTGGTCTGATTCTCACAGTAACCTAGAGTAAAGCACCATATAAGATTTACATGATTTTCCAGTTTTAATGATTTAATCTGAGATCTGATCACCTTCAGGCCTTTGCAATGCTGTTCTCCTTGCCTGTAAAGTCTCTCTCCTTCCCCTTCTCCCACTTGCCTCTACCCACCTTTACCTGGCTGACTCTTGCTTGTTCTTCAAGTCCTTCAAGCTTAGAGGTCATGCTCCTTGACCCTCCCAGGCACCATCTCTCCCTGCCCCCCGCCCCCGCCACACACCCCCACACTGGACTGCAATGGCCTCTCCTGTCTACACCAATAGCTCTTGGAGGGCAGGGGACTTTCCTGACTTGATCACAAGGAAATCCTCTGCAAGTGCCTGATATCATGTAAGTTTCTACAGACTAAAAAATAGGTCATGTATAATTCAGAGGGGGAAGAACATGTACCTTAAAGCATATCCAAACAGACTTTCTTCTTCTTCTTCTTCTTTTATTTTTTAAGATTTCACTTATTTATTTGAGAGCAGAGAGAGAGCATGAGCAGTCAGGAGGGGCATAAGGAGAGGGAGACAAGCAGACTCCGTGCTGAGCAGGGAGCCCACCGCGGGGCTCCATCACAGGACACTGATCATGACCTGAGCTGACGGCAGACACTTAACCCACTGAGCCACCCAGGCGCCCCCAAACAGACTTTCTTCTTGTGTAAATTAATGATAATTCTTATCAAAAGGAGGTAAGAAATGGATCCTTAAGCAATTAATTTCAATGTGGTCCATAAGGAGCACCCTGCAGTCTTGAAAACTGTGTATCTTTGCACGATTCTGGGTAACAGTTTCTTGAAGTTGGAGAACAACATTCTGAGGGTAGGAGTCGAATATTAAGTAATCCTGACTCAATTAGCCACTGTTTTGAATCCACATACTCCAATACTCCTGAAATAGTTCATTATGGACAGCGCAGAAAGAGCTGGGGAGAATCCCACGGAGAGAACAGGCAGGATTCAGAACTCAGCCCTGCAGACATGCGTTTGACTCCCTCCCAGCTGCAGAATTTGGCAGCTAAACCTCTGAGCGTATTGGGTGTGGGAGAGAAGGGGGCCCTGGATCTTGGCTCACACCTGCCAACGTTTAGGAAGCCACACTCCTCCGTTGACACGAAGGGGTGGGTGTTGGACAGCCCTTGGCTCGTCTGGTAAGGTCCTGTCATTCTCACCTGCTACACACTATGCTCTTCCAAGAGCTAGATGCTCAACAGATAAATGAACAAATGATACCACTCTCTCTCCAATCCCTTCCGGCTCCCTCTGTGCCTTCCCCATCCCTGCCCATCCTCTGTGCTTGCCTCCTTTCTAAAAGCTGTATTAACAGGGGAGACAGTTCTCCTATTTACAAAGGTCTCTGCGGGGAACCAAGCAACCTTCCCTTCAATAAACCACCTTGCCCCTAAAGCTGTAGACAGTGACTACCTTTCTGCATTTGCCAGGGAGACTGGCCTTAGCAGTGCTTCCCCAGGCTCTCAGGTGAGGGAAACCTGAAACCTCTTCATGACCTGAGAAAGAATTTGGCAGCTAACCCTCCTAGCACTCCTGGGTAGAAAGCAAACAGAGAGGTGTTCCCCCCCCCCACCCCGTTATCATTTCCTACAGTCTAAAAAATGAGAGGAATGCAAACACTGAGAAGATCTGTACTCAGGCACTAGGTAATAAAAAGATTTAGGAAGAATGCCCCTGGAAGATAAGCTCTACCCCTGTGTCTCCTCCCTGAGTCAGAGCACCCCCCCACCCCCGCGTCTGCCATACAGAAGCCGCTTGAGCTCCTTCACCCAAACACTCCCTCCCCGGCTTCACTTCTTGCTCCTAAATCATTCTATCTCCTTGTTCTAAGCCAAGGCATGCATTATTAACATCGTTCCCACTTTTTTTTCTACTTCCCCATTCATTTCTACCCATCTGCTGCAAATTCTAGGTGGCTGGGCTTTTTTTGTTTTTTGTTTATTTTTTTGTTAACTTCAATTTTTTTTTTCCTGCACAAATGTAATAGAAACCAAAAGGGGTGGGGGGGGACAAAGCCCAGATCCCACAACCCTTACCTTTTTGTCCCTGACC